ATACTCATAAGACCATCCTGAAAATCACCTATGCATCTGCCACTTTAAAATAACCAAAAGAGTAGGTCACGTGCATCACGAGTCCCCATCACCATTTTCCACTGTTCCCTTCACGCTTATATTATTTAAAATAAATAAAAAAGAAAAGTGGAAAGTGGGTAGTTGTGGCCTTGGTTCCTCAGACTTATGAAAGACATTTTCCTTTGTACTTTTTCCAGAAAAATAAGGTTACCAAATGTGGAAATTGGCTTGGCAAGGAGCGTGATGCCCTTCACTTTGATTTGATGTTGCCACCAAAGCACCTGAGAGACCTTGTCCCTCTCTTTTTTGGCAACAACTATGAGCAACCTGAACCACCTGATGCTCTCTGCCAAGTGTGAATTTTGCCCCTCACTTGAGACAACAAGTTCCAAAGTTTTCGCACTGTCAACTATAAATAAAGAATCATGGCTCTTTGTACTTTCAACCATACTAAACCTGGTAAAGATCATTTGGAAACTAGGAAATTATATACACTTTTCAATACAAACATTCAACTATTTTAGTCTTCTTGCTTGAGAATTTCGATTGTTCGAATAGCAATTTTACAATACCTTTTTCTCTCTTCTTTTTCAAATATCTTTCCCCTCGATTCTGCCTTATCATCTGATTTTTTGATTTCTTACGTTGTATTCTTTATCCAAATTTTTTAATCTCGACGTTAGATGACATCAAGCATTCATATGACGTGACCCACCATCATATTAAGAATATCTTGCTAGCTGTCGATGGTATCAATATGATTTATTCTTAAGAAAAGTTGTGCTTTTTAAAAGGATCGAGATTCTAAGGTAATTTCTAGTATGTAAGAGTAACATAAAACTTTACTATTCGAATCTCACTTAATGATAAAGTGGCAGATGATCCGTTATAATGATAAATTTTTCTTGTGAGTGCTACTAAGGGAAATCCCATGTGCGAGCGGTCATTGATGTATTGTGAGACTCACTTTAATTAACGGTTGGAAATTATCACTCACTTGTGACCGATTGCACATAACATTTCTATTTTTCTTAAGTGCATAAGTTGATCGATGGGCCTATGTAATGGATTATGATTCGGTGCCTAGCGCATGACACTAGGCTTTAATAAGTAGGGTCCACCATTATGTGGTGGACCTCCTCATTATTATAATTACTAGAGGCTTCAATGCCTGAGAAATACGTATGACATTTGAAAAAATTACTCCGCAAAACCCTTAAAGTGATTATTCAAATATCAAAATGGGTAAATAAAAAAATATCAATTGGCTTGTAAAGGAATCAAGTTGCAATTACTCCTTTTAACACACTAGCTCTCCTATTTTTTATATAGGAATTTACAAATAGAATGGCCCCAAGATGGATGGGAAAAAGATGATCCGTTTTGTTTCTTCTATGAACTTGCCAAATATCTTCAAACCTAAGTAACTTTTTGTGGACAATGGTGATTAATATTGATCAAAATATCCAATTCGAGCTACCACTACCTACTTTTTCATCTAGTCAATGGAGTCCTATGCAAATTATATATCTCTATCTCTATCTCTACTATTACAAGTCATATCAAAAGCAGTTGCGGTCATATATAGGTCTCTTGAAACAATGGGTGATATTACAATAATCTGTGGCTAAGAATCCTTCATGCTGGTGGAAGAAAGATCCAAATTCCTCCCCTACGAATCTCATAAAGACTGGTGCTCGTTTCTTGAGCTTAGGTTCTTGGATTGGCTGACTCGCATCAAGGATTTTGGATGGGACCTTGTACTAAGAAATCAACCAATAAGGATATATGCCGAAAACCATGGGCATATGCATTATAAAAATCAGTCTTCCATAATCCATTTATAAAAAGGGATCAGTCTTGTATAATTCGAATGGTTGAGAGTAGGACAAGTGTCAATCATCAGCTAAAGGAAGAAGAAAGTTGATCTCTATCTCCCTATTTCGGGTCATCTTTCATTCGCTTGCACCCAAATAAATGTTGGAGCTTTCCATGGATAGGTATGATTGGGTTTTAGACATGCAAGACATTTACCAAACAGAGAAAGTAGCGTATTTATGTATATAAAGCTGAACAACATGTTGGTGGATGTGTATATCATTAGGCCAATGGTATATTATATTTACAAGGGAAACCTAACAATTGACAAGTTAACCAACCATGGAAGCAGCATTAATTGGTAATAGATTTTTTTAAATAAAAAATACAGAGATCATGAAAATAACGACACACGGCATAACATAGCAGAAGTGAATGTGATTAAAGTTTCTTATATTATATATAGTAGTGGAAAGTTTCCCCAAATTGGTATCTAATCGACATTTTCTTTCCTACTTTACCAGTCACTAAAAAGGATTTTAAAATCAGTACATCTTTTCTAAGGCTGAAGATAAAAATTACTAATTAAATTTTTTTTTTTTTGAAGTAGAGAAAAAGCATAGCTACTCGTCAGATGTTGATGTACACTTAGTGATCAACATTTGGTCCGCGGCCTATGGCCCAAAGTGAATAGCTTGAGGCCAGATCGGTAAGAGTTCAGTTAGTTTGTTATTTAGCTCGCTCAGCCTGAGGCCATATTTGGGCTTCAAATTTGAAACCCTCGGCCCACTCCTTCTAAGACAATTTAGGCCCTACTCAACCTAGTATGCCTAGGCCCATTTAGGAATGTCCCCTCTATGCCCTTTAAAAAAAAAAGAATTGAGGCTCGTTTGGGAGTGATTTTGAATATGCTAGAATTACTTATGGGGAGAAGCACCTCTCATATGTTTATCTATATAACCACTTTAAGGGCTCGTTTGAGAATGCTTATCTAGGAAATACTTCTGCTCATAAGTGCTTCTAACAAAAGCGCTTTTATTATAAAAATCTTGAATTTTCATAAAGAATCTAAGTGTTTTCTGAAAAAGCACATAGCAAGTTCGTTTCCAGAAAGCGCTTCTATGACCTAGAAGAGTTTTTAAACTTTTTTGCCAAACACTGTCAGAAACGCTTTTAGTTGTTAGAAAACGCTTTTAGCATTTCCAGAGGCACTCCCAAACATGCTATAAGTGATTATATAGAGAAGTGATTCTCCATAAAAGTGTTTTTTGGCATTTTTAGAATCACTCTCAAACGAGCTCTTAATTGATGCACTCCGTAACCTCATTTTCGACTTAATTGAAATAATGTAATATGCAGGATGAATTAATAAACTTCTCATTTTGTTTTGCACATGTTATGAATTAAGTTGATTTTTCCATTGTTGTTTGAAAATTTGCAACACAATTTTTAAAAGACATTGAACTACGACCCTAGATCAAAGTGAACTCCCTAACCTCATTTTAGACTTAATTGAAATAATTTAATATCAATGATGAACTAATAAACCTTTTATTTTGTTTTACACATTTATGAATTAAGTTAATTTTTTCAAAGTTGTCTAAAAATTGGTAACAAAAAGTTATATACGATATTGAACTACGCCAATGAGGTATAGCTTAGTTGGTTGAACTCTTCCATCTCCCCACCCATGTGGGCAGAGGTTTGAAACCTCCAGATACCCCAATGAGTATTTGTGCAAACCCCCTTCTCCATTCACTTGTAATCAAATATATTGAACTATAACTCTACATACAAGTCCAACCACTTGAGAAAAACAAAAAAGCTTTTTATCACAAATGGTCCCTAAGGTTTGTGAAATTATTACCTTGTGTCTTTTACCTTTTTTTGTGACACTAATGGTCTTTAAGGTTACCATCCACACATCCAAATGGTCCATACCGTTAGCTTCCGTCAATTTTCTATTTGTTAAATTGTTGATGTGGCACATGTGGGCCATACATCCAATGGTATAGAACCACGCGATTTTAAATAAAATAAAATATATTTTAAAACTTAAAATCCATTAATAAAATTAAAAAGTAATTAAGTTTTTTTAGAAAGAGAAAAAACCCTGAAGCTATCCCTCCGCCTAAAAAAACAAACCCTCCTGCATACCCACAGGGACATGCTTATCTTCTTCTTCAACCTCCATTTATTTTGATGAGCTCTCCTTAACCAATCCAAGGCAAGGGAATGCTCTCTCTTCAATAATTAATTCTTCAGCCAAGCCCTTCTCCTTCAATAATTAACTCGTCTTATCCCGTATATGTATCTGGGTTTTTATTTTCTACAAAAATTAATTCTGTTTTAAATTTGTTTATTTATAGATTTTAAGTTTTTAAAATATATTATATTTTATTTAAAGCCACGTGGCTCTATATCTTTAGATGTGTGAGCTCCACATGTGTGCCACGTCAGCAATTTAACAGAAAATTTGATGGAAGCCAACGACATAGACTATATTTGATGAGTGGAGGGTAACCTTAAGGACCATTAGTGTCATAAAAAAAGGTTAGGGATGAAAAGTGATAGTTTCGCAAACCTTAGGGACCATTTGTGATAAAAAGCTAAATAAAAAGCCCAGCTCATCTAGGCCCATATTCGCCCGGCCTGGCCCGCTTAGGCCCAGCCCACCTCCATCTAAGGAATGGGTACCGGAGGCGGCAGCCCAGTAGATTTTTACAGTGACCAAACCCATGGCAGAAGGTCCAACCCCAGTTCAGCACCGACCTTGCGCAACAGAGCCAGTGAGTCTTCTCTGAAATCTCCCTCGTCGATCTGGAGGGCGCAAAAGTCTTTATAAACGTCTCACCTAATTATTAAATAAATAATAAAAAAGGTTGTTAGACTCGAAGCCTTCCCATCATTACTCTTGATACTCTTCTTCCCTTCCCTTTCGTTCTTTCTTTTTCAACCTGAAATTCATAGTAATTGTACAAGTCTACCAAACCCAGAAGCTTGTTTTAGCTTTCGGTAAATTTAAATTCTTCTCTTTTTTTGTTTTGTTTTGTTTTGTGTTCCTAATATTTGATTTCTTTATGTAATTCTGTGCGATTTGTTGCCTAATTTGTTGAATTCCATTATCTTGTTTTGTTTCAGCTTAATTTTTCTGAATCGCCATGGCTGTTGCATCTGAAGGAGCAACTATAATATGCAATCACTGGTAATTATTTTTCTTGGGAATCTGTGTCTTCAAATCTTGTAATTCTGATATCGTACCTGTTCTGTATAATATATCTTTATGGTTATGTATGCATCCACAGTTTTTGGTTTATGCGTGCCAATGTTAATTATGTTTATGATTTGGTTTGAATTTTGTGAGATACCCAAACCTTTGAATTGCCGTAGTTGGATGAATTTTCCTACAAGCCTAGCTCAAGCTCAGCTTATTTAGGTATTGTGGTACTGGCAACCCCCAAAAGAGTGGTTTATTAGTGCCTTGGCCTGTTTGCTCTCTAGTTATTTGGTAATGGAAGCATTAGTGTTCTTTCAATTTGAAGAGATCAGTTTGCACATTCCCTTAGATGGTCACTGGCTTAAACTTCTTTACTATGTTTGATGACTTGTAGACATTCACCTGCTTCATTCCTCTAATACAAATACCGTGCTAATGGATAATTTGTTTGTATTTTTCCAGTGACAGAGCTGTCCCCTCTTCAAATATTGATTTGCACTCTGCTCATTGTTTCCGCAATCTAGAAAAATGTAAAGTCTGTGGTGATATGGTTCCGAAAAAATATGCTAAGGAACATTACTCGGACACCCATGCTCCGGTACGTGAGTTTACCATATTAGATTTTTCTTCCTACTGAATTTAGTGCAATATAAGATGAAATCTCTCCTGTTAATTTTAAGTGAAAACGTAGCATTAGATTACTTTTGTTTGGCATAAAGTTTTCCAGCAATTACTAGTATTCACTTGGAAAAGTGAAATTACATATGATTATGTAGTTATATGCATGTATTCGGTTGTTGCAATTCTCTTGGTGTCAAGGATCCCTTTTGTCCCTCTATTGTATTATCAATTGTTAGCTATTTTTTGCAGAGGTCCATCTAAAACTGCAAAATGTTGATATTCAACAAGGGCTGAGATTGAACCCTTTTGTCCCTCTGTTGTATTATCAATTGTCAGCTATTTTTTGTTGAATATTTTAATTCAAAATTTTCCCTGTAACATTGTAACATTCATACACCCTGAATTTGTTACCCCACCATTGTAACATTCAGAAGCCTAAATTATCCAAATCGTATGCCAGCATAATGCATATGTAAACTGGTAATTATTTTATGCCAAAGCTTCTAGGAAGTATTTGAGGATATAGATATGCTTTCGTTTGAGTTTTGCATAAAATAAACTGGTATTTATTTTATTTCGAGCACTTTCATGCATATAGCCTGTACAGGTGAATATGGTTAGCATGTTGTATAGAATGTAGCTTTAAACTGGGATAGCTTGCAAAAGAGAATTCATTTGTCCAACCCCAATCAATTCGGGAGCTTTGTTGAGTTATTTTTAGATGATAATTTTGGAAATTGAAAGAATAATCTTGGACGTTGTTGGGCAGTACGTGTCTGACAGATTATTGGATAACTAAAACATGATGATTATAAAGGAAATTCTACATGCTGTATCAAGCTCCTCACGAGCTTGGAAAAATATTTCTTCACTTAGCAATCAAACTGAAACCAAAGTTTCAAATTATTGTGGAAACACAGAGTTTATTAGTTATGCCTCTTGCAAGGAGTATTCAAGTTATCTTAGTTAGCATGATCGTTTTAATATGTAATGGAACATTTTCATCTACTGCATCCTCAATGTGCAGATATTTGCCCATGCACAGTTTGTCCGTGCTTTAATTTAGTTTATCTTTTTTTAAAGAGACCATAAAGGATGCAAAACGCTGAGCAGCGATTAATAATCAACCCCAAATGATTGGTTAAGCCAACACATTTTGTTTGGTTAGTATTATCTTGAGTTGGGTGTAGATATATCATGTACCTGCATACAATTGCCATGTGAAATGACATGTGTATTAGAGCAGGTAGCCTGTTCACTTTGTAGCGAGACAATGGAACGTGAAATATTAGCTGTCCACAAAGGTGAAAATTGCCCTCAAAGAATTGTCACATGTGAGTTCTGTGAGTTCCCATTGCCTGCAATTGATCTAGCTGAGCATCAGGTAAAACTTGTCAATAATTTTGAAAAGATGACTTAAAATGATATTTATCAGAACTTGAGTGTTATATCAGTCTTTTTTTTGTAATTTTAGGAAGTATGTGGGAATCGGACAGAACTTTGTCATCTTTGTAACAAATACATTAGACTGCGAGAAAGATACAACCATGAAATTAGCTGCACTGGTGTCCCAGATAATACTGTGTCATCTTCCAGGTTGGTTCACTATCATATAGCATTTTAATATATTAATTGGTAAATTGTAGCTACTTATTATTGTGCAGCATAATGAAATATCTTATGAGGAATTTCTAAGAGAAATTTGTCTTGCTATCTTTTAGCTTATAATTGATAGCCGACTACCTGTAATTGTAAGGTTTGGTATGTCAGGGCAGTCAAAGAAATATATAGCCTTGTCAGGGCAAATTTCCATATTTAAGAGAAGTCAATGTCTTGTCCCATGATTAAAAGTTTTGGGCATTTTTAGGCACATAAGTCCTGGTTGAATTCTTCCAAGTGTCCAGTTCATGCATTTATGCTGAAATTGGCACCATATCCATATATTCCCATGATCTAGTGCTCCACTTTGGATTCCAACACTAGTATTGGTAACACCCCTGATTATATTAGTATCACACAACTTTATCCTTCTAACTAATTTTCTTTAAAAGAAAGAGGGAAAGAAAAGCTACCTCCATTGTTTTGTTATGAACATTGTTCATTTGTGTGAACTCAACCAAGTCTAACCCCATGATCGTAAGGGTTGCAAGCCACACAAATCTGTATGACCGGAAGTCCCACGTACAGGGACATCTTCTGCAAGTAGTCCTTGTGAAAGATTTTTCATTCAGGCTAGGGATTTCAAAGGTCTGATTAGATCGGATTGTATTCTTGAATCAACTTGAATTCATAAGTTGAGTTACATCACTAACAATTCTGAACTGTACCTCAGTGCCAATCAAACCCAATATAATTATGATTGTTACTTGTCATTTTGGGTTTTGGGGTTAGCAGCTGGTTTCTGATTTACATTTTATTTGGCTACTGTCTAACCTTTTGAGCACATATCCAGGACCAGATATCCTTTTTTTAAGAATGATGGATATTCTTTATTTGTGATGTGTATTAATCCTTTGAATTTTAATATGAAGGGATGCTAGGGCTGCTGAAAGAGGGCAAGGTCCCCAACGAAGACAGCCGAATGAGTTTTCACGGAAACGGCTTATATTCACCATTGCACTAACAGGCATTGCTGTTCTATTAGGATCTCTATTTTTCGGCAGAAAGACAGAAGACAATCAAGTAGTGCATTAGCAGCTGAGACAATAGTCGTTGGGTTATGTAAATCTTCTATATGCTTCCATTTAATCTGTATCCTAAATCTTCAGAAATCGTACGACTGTTGTAACTGTAGTAAACTCCATTGAAACTGTGATAATACAGTAACTGATTATGCAAAGCTACCATGTGCTTGTTTCATACTTTTTAATGAATCTCACCTTTTGGTTGCAATAAGCGCGACCTTTTGTAGAATTACTAGTCACAACTGCAGGAGACCAGATCGAATTACGTCTTTAGTCCTCGATTAAGAGACATTAATGGTGCAAGACATCATACAAGAAAAGAAAGTTTATAGTATTGTCAGAGGAAAGAGATGTTTGCTATTTCATAAAAAATGGAAAAATGGAAAAATGTAATGAATGGAAAAGAGCCTTCTTGCAGGCGGCTGCTCTCCACACACCTTTACAAAAGGAATTGTATAGACTTGTATTGAACCCCTTGCTAGCTGTGCTTGGTGTACCGTTTGCAGCAGGAGCAGTTTTGCTCTCAGGAAAATATTGTTGGAGCGCTGGGGCATCCACTGAATTGGATTTTCTGCAGAATGTCCCCTCCTCGCCGTACTTTTCTAAATCCGAGTAAGCACTTGAACAACATTGATTAAGCAAACTGACTTCTTTACTTTTGCAAACTTAGCTAATCAAACTCCGCATGCACCTCTTAACTGGGCAGCAACAATCCTAAACCAGTTCGCGAGCCTACTGCTGCTGCTGCTGCAGAAAAAAATTCCACAGGTCCATGAAGTAATAACAACAACATGTAGTTTAATTAGAGCCTCCACAAACATGTAGTTGGTCAAAGGCCAAGTCAATGAAAAATTCAATAGGGTTGAAAGGGTGAGCTTGAAGACCTGAAACAATTTAATGAATTCATGTTCATTCACATGAATACTCTTCCATATTCAGACCCATAAAAAGTTTACAACAATATCGAGCATAAATTGGATACGATTACTTGTAAGAAACACAAAAAAGGCAGGAAAACTTTTGGAATCTTGAGATTAAAAAAACCTACTGTGAGTAACATGAAAGCCCGAAAGATCCACAAAGTAAAGGTGATCCTTGTGAGGACTGAGGAGGAGGACAACATATTCGCTTAACGATGAAGAGTGAGGAAGAGGTATCTGCAAGAAGACACTCCAATGCAAGTCAATAGGTGTTCAAATGGATTGCAGTAGAATATGATCAATTGAGTATGGAATGAATCTATAACTGTTAGTTATTTATTATTTTGTTTTATTTTATTAAAATTCAAAACTTATTATTAGTGTTATATATTTAATAGTAATGATTATTTATTTTAAGAGTCATATTTGTTGACCCAATAGACGTGACTTTATTAAAAGGGTGTGTGAAGTCTTATAAATGAAGAACTCCTCGGACATAACAGAGAACAAACAATTCTCTGTTACTCTCATCTCATGCTCCATATCTGAATCACACTCATCATTCTCCATCTCCTACAATTCTCTTTATCTATTTCCTGGGCAATCAATCAACACTTGGCATACCCATCTGCCGTTGGCATGCATAACAGACAGACATCTTGTGAGGCTTTTGGGTTGTATCTTGGAGTTGTAGGCACTGCCATAACTTGCACGTAGGAAGGCATCTACGGCTTTAGGACAACGTTCATCGTGCCTCTCTTGGGTTTACAGGCCAGACTTTCTTTCTCCTTTAATGTACCTATTGTTAATTGTGATTGTTTTAATTGGACATATTTAATCCCTTTTATATTTACACAAATCAGCAACTATTTCTAACATTCTAAAGTTGTAGACACCTTCCTATGTGCAGGTTATGACAATGCCTACAACTATAGGAAATGACATAGTCGCACAAGTGCTTGGAATTGGAGATATAAAACTAAAAATGACATTTGGAAAGGTCTTAGTATTGAAGGAAGTGCGACATGTACCTGATGTTAGAAGAAATCTAATTAGTGGATTTTCTTTAATACAACAAGGCTACAAAGTTGTATTGGAATCAAATAAGGTTGTAATAACCAAGAATAATGTATTCATTGGTAAAAATTTTATCAGTGAAGGATTGTTCAAGTTAAATGTATCTTCAGAGGTTATTCATCCTAAAGTTTTCAATATGGAATCTAGTAATGTTTGGCATGGAAGGTTGGGACACATACACTTGATGAAAATAAAAAAGATGAGGGATTTAGACCTCAAACACAACTGTGAAATTTGTGTACAAGATGAACAACCTAAAATACCCTTTAAGTCTATTGAGAGGAATACCCAACTTGTGGAGCTTATACATAGTGATGTTTGTGATTCAAATACGCCACCCACTAGAGCTGGAAATAAGTATTTTGTGACATTTATAGATGATTGTTCGAAGTATTGTTATATATATATTTGATAAAGATCAAGGATGAAGTATTTAACAAATTCAAAGTTTACAAGACTGAAGTAGAAAGTCAATTAGAAAGGAGAATTAAGAGATTTAGGTCTAATAGATGTGGTGAATATACTCTTAATGATTTTAGTGTGTTTTGTGAAGAGCATGGTATAATACATCAAGTGACAGCACCCTATTCTCTACAATCTAATGGATTTGTAGTAAGGAAGAATATGACTTTATTGGACATAGTGAATGCAATGTTATTGAGTTCTGGATTACCTGACAATTTGTGGGGGGAAGCAATTTTGACTGCATGCTTCATATTAAATAGAGTTATTGTTAAAGACAACACTACTACTCCATATGAAGTTTGGAAGAAAAGAGCTCCTAATATTCAAGTCTTGAAAGTGTGGGGGTGTTTGGCTAAAGTTGCAATATTCCCTGAACCTAAGAGGAAGAAGATAGGACACCAAAAACTATGGATTCTGTTTTCTTAGGTTATGCTCATAATAGTAGTGCCAATAGGTTTCTGGTCATAAATTCTGAAATAAGTGCACAATATTAGAGTCAAGGGATGCAACTAATTTGAGGACATATTTCCTTTCAAGACTAGAATTCAGAAGCAAGTAGTAGATAGATCTAATAATGGTTCCGATAAAGCCTCCACTAGTACTAGTCTCCTAGTTGTAAATGAAGCAAAGCCTCAAGCAGAACCTAGAAGGAGTATAAGACTTACAGTAGAAAAAAGTTTTGGAGATGGTTAGGAGATCCTACAACTTATAGAGAAGCTATGATCTCAATAGATGCTCCGTTTTGGAAAGAGGCGATAAATAGTGAGGTAGACCTGGGAATTAACAGATTTACCACATGGGACTACACCAATTGGTTGTAAATGGGTGTTTAGGAAGAAATTGAAGCCATATAGAAGCATAGACAAATAAAGGCTGGATTAATAGCCAAGGGATTCACTCAAAAGAAAGGAATTGATTATTTTGACACTTACTCCCCTATCTCTAGGATCACTACTATTCGGACCCTTATAACATTAGCCTCCATACATAACTTAGTAGTTCATCAAATGGATGTTAAAACAACGTTCTTGAATGGAGACTTAGACGAAGAAATCTATATGGAGCGACCTGAGGGATTTATTGTGAAAGGCCAAGAGCATAAGATATGTAAGTTGGTTAAATCATTATATGGACTCAAGCAAGTTCCTAAGCAGTGACATGAAAAGTTTGACAAAGTCATTTTAGACTATGGTTTAAAGATAAATGAGTATGATAAGTGTGTTTACTATAAAGTGTGTGATGGAGATTGTGTTATATTGTGTCTTTACGTTGATGATATATTATTATTTGGAACAAATTTGAAAATTGTGAAAGATGTGAAGTCCTATCTATCAAGGAAGTTTGATACGAAACATTATTTTGGGAATGAAGTTAGAAAGAACACAAGTTGGCTTTACTTTGGATCAATCTAGTTCAATTGAGAAAATGCTCAAGAAGTTCAACTATTTTACTAGCAATTCGGTTTCAACACCCTATGATCCCAGTGTGAGCTTAAGAAAAATAATGGTGAGCCTGTGTCGCAACTTAAGTATTCACAAATGATTGGATCTTTGATGTATATTGCAAATAAAACTAGGGCAAATATACACATAACCCAAGTAGAGATCATTGGAATGCTTTAGAGCGAGTGTTCAAGTATTTGAGAGGAACTTTGGAATACTCAATATGTTATAAAGGTTTTCCTTGTGTAGTAGAAGGGTATAGTGATGCCAATTGGATTACAGATAGTTATGATGTAAAGTCTACTTCAGGATATGTATTTTTGTTAGGAGAGGAGCAGCTATATCTTGGGCATCCAAGAAACAAACAATAATTTCAAGAAGTACAATGGAGTCAGAACTTATAGCTATTAATATTGCATGCACTAAGGCTGAATGGATTAATCACTATCGCCTCTCTTATTCTGCTCAATGACGATTGAGGGAAGAAGACAACGACATATTCGAGGGCAACTTCGGAATCTCACAACCATCAGGAACCCATCTCTCTCTTGTAAGTAATCATCAACTTGAACGAGACATTGCAACAAAATAAAAATATTGTTCTTAGTTGCCTTCATTTCTTAAAGTTCTGATCTTGATATAATCCATGTTTATTTGGAAGAATCCCATTTGATAAACTGATGTGTCTGGTTAATTATTGTAAAAGTTTGTAATTTCATTCATGTTTTTCATTATCTGATTTTGACAAAACTCTTGTTTTGAGGATTGTAATAGGTAGTTTTTATAGGCATAATTCTAAGGCGATTTTTTTTTTGGCCGGAGGCAAGGTTCTTTCTCCCACTTGAGGTTGAGAGGTAGACTATTTCGGTAGACCGACGACCAAATGCCCATTGGGTGTAAGAGGAACTCGCCTAATCCCCTATGTTAGAAACTGGTTTTTATACTTACTTCAACCTATACATCAATAAAATAATATTACTTTTGACTCAAATTTTTATTTATTTATTTTAGTTGATATAAATAAAGTGCAACTGTAATAAAGAATAATAATAATAATTAACCAAGGTGGTTGGTGTGAGTGGTTCGACACTCTCATTCCTTAAGAGAAGGTCAGGGGTTTGACCCCTGCTCTCGTATGGAGTCACCACTTTGGCCAGCACTTTAATTCTTACGGGCTGCCTGGTGTGAGCGGGAATTAGTCTGGGTTGTGGTTAAGGTTTAAAGGTGCCACTCATAGTTGGGGCCCATCCAGGACCACCTTGTGGTTCAAACAAAAAAAAACAAAGAATAATAATAATTTTTCTAAAATGACATGTGGCATATTCTGAGTGGAATGATAACCAGATGAAGTAGAGATAGTATACCACTCTATATGAGTGAAATTTTTTTTGTGGCTAAAACCTAAATTTACTTATTATTATATATGATATTAGTGTCAAAAAGTAACGGTCAACTCAATTATTTTATTTTATTTGGTTATATTAAAAGGAAAGAAATTCCTTGGGTTTCGAACTTGGGTGTTAAGCAGGGGAAAGGTAGAGTCCACCACTGGTACCTGTTCTCGGCACGGTCAACTGAATTTTGCTCAGGAAGAAATGGTATGTCGGCAAATTTTGCCACTCCCTTTTTGTAGGTAAGCCCTGTACACTAAAAGTTAAATCCAAGTGTCCATCTCCCAAAGCGCGACAACGGCTGGTACTATCAACTACCATATTGGCCATAAAAATGACAAGGACACATTCTAAGATCTTCACCCTCCGTAATCAAATTATCATCGTCACTGTATCACACTCACTGTCGCCTCTGTTATTGTACTCTGCGACGATTGAGGGAAGAAGACGACGACATATTCGGGGGCATCTTCGTAATCTCACAACCACGAGGAACCCATCTCTCTCCTGTGAGTAATCATCGATTTTAATTAGACATTGCAAGAAAATGAAAATATTGTTTTCAGTTGCCTTCATTTCTTAAGTTCTGATCTTGACGTAATCTATGTTTATTTGGAAGAATCCCATTTGATAAACTGATGCGTCTGGTTAATTATTGTAAAAGTTTGTAATTTGATTCATGTTTTTCATGATCTGATTTTGACAAATTTCTTGTATTTAACATAACCACGTAACCTACCTACCTTGTATGCTTGTATGGTGTTTTGAGGGAATAATAAGAAGAGAGAAGCAGAGTTACAGAATTCTTGATTATCTGATAACTCTTCTGTGTGTTTCAGAAACACAAAATCTGGGTTTTTTTTTTGCGGTGAGCAAGTTCCAGTAGACCACAAGGGTGTAACACCATGTCAACTGCAGGGGTGAGGCTGCATATTCAAGGTGGCCATGTGAGTAAATTTTGAGCCTTTGGATTTCTTAATCCATTTTTCTTATTCTAGGCTAAAGTTGCTAATACGATATGCTTGAGTGAGCAAATGGTAATCTTGGTAATTCTTTTTTTATTTTTTTTTCCTGAGGAAAAATGAATGTTCTTCAGTTATGTTAATGTTCTGCTTCTGTGCTTCAACTTCATTCCATGTGCAGGTGGTGATGGATAATGGCATACTCCAAGTTACCTTATCAAACCCGGATGGCATTGTCACTGGAATACGATATAACGGGATTGATAATGTGCTTGAACCTCTCAATAAGGAAACTAACAGAGGGTACATGGTGGCTGTTTCTACTTCCTATTATTATTTCTCCCTATTCCGCTTGTCCTCCATGCCTTCCTTCTATTCTTCTTCCTCACTTCTTCTTTGTCTCCTTTTTTCTGGCCAGACTTCTTTGTCTCTTTAACATACTACATTCGGCCTTTGTTGTCTTTGAAGATTAGGAATTTAATTTAGATTTAAAATGTTTATGTAGGTATTGGGACCTTGTTTGGAGTGCACCAGGAAGTAAGGGAATATTTGATGTGTATGTATTTCCCCTCTTTTCTTTCTAACAATAATAGAGTACCTTTTGAAGTTATATGATCAAAGTAAATTATATACAGGATAAATGGTACAAGTTTTAGAGTTATTGTGGACAATGAGGAGCAGGTCGAGGTCTCATTTACAAGAATGTGGGATCCCTCCCTTGAGGGGAAATATGTTCCGCTAAACATAGACAAAAGGTCACTGCTGAATTCTTATAAAGTTTTTGCTTTTATGAGTTTAAGCCATTTGCAATTATATTTTAGGATTCAGGCGTGTTCAATCTGACTTTAATCTTATGATTATTATTTTTGCAATGATACCCTATTTTGTTTAGGTTTGTAATGCTGCGTGCTTCCTCGGGCTTCTACTCCTATGCAATTTATGAGCACTTGAAGGATTGGCCTGATTTCGAGATTGGTGAAACTAGAATAACCTTCAAATTGAGAAAAGACAAGTAAACAAAATATACTTATGCTTTCATGTTATTAGATACTATTGCCCATTATGCTTAGTGGTTTGGTAGAAACTGTTTATTAGAAAACTAATTGACATGATGCTGCATGCAAGAATAAATTTTATATTCAATTTGGGGTAGGTGCAAATTTAGGAATTATGTTTGCTTTATTATTATCTGTAGGAATAAATTATTGTTGCAGTATATTTATTGAGACTGCCTATACTTTTTTTGGTCTGAATTGAGACTGCCTATATGAAGAGGCCTTTTTGTACTACTATTTTAAACTTGTAGTGTATAGACAGAGAAAAGGTTATTGAGTTTATCCTAATTTCTTTTCTCCATCTTGTTCCACTTCTTCTCCCTAAGCTTCTGTTTCTATCTCTTTCAATCTCTTCTCTGTCTGTCTGTCTGTCTGTCTCCAAATTACTGATATAATTATGTGTATTCATCCTCTTTAGTATTTTAGCATGCATATGAATTAACGATGTACAATTTGGGTGGATAGATTCCAATACATGGCTGTATCAGACAACAGGCAAAGGTACATGCCCCTACCTGATGACCGGTTACCAGGAAGATGCCAAACACTGGCCTACCCAGAAGCAGTCCTACTTGAAACTCCCAAGATGAAAGAGCTTGCTGGAGAGGTATTTTGTCACAACTTTCCCACTGTTATTATTTTACAGTTTCTTTTTGTGTGAGCTTGGGGTGGGGTCCTAAGCCAATTTTTCAAAGATTTTCTTTGACGTATTTTATTTTTATCATTGGTTTTCTTGGTGAAAGCCACCAGTTAGTGGATCATGACCTTCATAAATTAAAGTAGTGAACTTTGAATGCCTTACACATACCAAAATGAAATTTTTATTCTAACGTCTCTGGAGGAGAGTAGAGTGCCTTCCTTTCATCATATTTTTGTTATATGCAGGTTTGTGTTATGTTGATTCTTTTATCATAAATCCTTGAGTTGCAGGTGGATGACAAGTATCAATACTCGTGTGAGAACAAAGATAATAAGGTTCATGGGTGGATATGCACCAACCCACCAGTTGGGTTCTGGCAGATCACGCCCAGTGATGAATTCCGATCTGGTGGACCTCACAAACAGAACCTAACCTCACATGTCGGCCCTACCACTCTTGCTGTATGTGATTATTTTTAGAATAGTAGTCATTATGAAAATTTATCGGTGGCCTGCTTATTAGTGATGTTAGTATAAATATGTCACGTCAGCTCTGATTATGACCCTTCTACTGGTGTCATCAGATGTTTCTGAGTGGTCATTATGCGGGACAAGATCTGGTGCCAAAATTTAGAGGTGGTGAACCATGGAAGAAGGTTTTTGGCCCTGTTTTTATCTATCTTAATTCTTCTGCAATTAAAGATGATCCATTTTGGCTATGGGAGGATGCTAAAATACAGGTTTGTCGTAAACAAAACACAAAAAAAAAAACCTGTTTCTTCTTTCATTGTAAAAATGGACAATTTTGGAAAGCAAGCTTTTAATCAGAAAATGGTGATGCAAAATGATGTTCAGATGATGACAGAAGTACAAAGCTGGCCATATAGTTTCCCAGCTTCTGAGGATTTCCAAAAGTCGGATCAACGGGGTAATGTGAGTGGTAGACTACTTGTTTTGGACAGGTTGGTATGGAGATAAACTTGTGTGTACTGTTTGTGTATTTTTTTATTTTTATTTTTTTGGGGGAGGCGGGGGTGTAGTTACTTATTTCTTTTTTGTGATAATTCTTGCAATCTGTTTGCCATTATCCGAGTTCTTTGTCTCAGTATGAATGTGGATGACGTGTGTGATATAAATATAAGGGTTATAAGTTTATATTCATATCTATTAACTTATTTTCTGAAAGTATTTGAAAAGAGAAGTTGATAATAAGCAATTAATTGATATGAGTGCATGAATTTCCAAGTATCAAATTGATGTTTCTCATTGCTAAAAAGAAAAAGAAAAAACTTATTGTTGTCAGGTACCTTTCTTTTAACTAAAAAAATTTCCCCACTATGCGTACATATGTTTAAAGTCTTTGTAATTGCGATGCCAGGTATATTTGTGAAGAACTCGTACCAGCAAATGGTGCGTATGTTGGTCTGGCCCCACCAGGAGATGTAGGATCATGGCAAAGAGAATGCAAGGTGACTTTCCATTTTGGGATGCACAACACTTGCTGATAAGTTATATTCTATGTCAAAGAAAATTGATTTTTTTAATTGATAATTGTGTTAGTTGTCTAATAGGATATTCTAACACCAGCATTTTATGTTTACTATGGTGTGAAATTTTAGCATCACATGAACAATAACTATAGCTTGCCATCATTAAACGTCAGAGAGCACTGAGAAATTATCCTACATATGTGTTTGTGTTAATTATAATCTGGACTTTTTCAGTCAAACTCGTGCCCAGCCATAGATTATTCAACCTGCAAGAGGTCAAGTTTTATTTACTTTTCCAGGATTTTTGTTTCTTGGCTTTCAAGGCTTAACTGGAAATAACAGAACTCATGGTTTCTGATGAGCATAACAAGATTAGCAATTCATTGTGATAAAGGTGTTGTAATCGATCTTTGTCTCTCATGTTTAAACATGGGCTTTTTTTTTGAATGGAAGACACCATAGTAGTGCATGTAATCTTGTGTCAGCAAAATTTTGAAGTGATCTATTCTATGGAATACCCAAAAACTACTATAAGTAATCAGAATGGTAAGGAACCTTAATATATCATATACCAAAACACAATACGCATTCTATAAATTATGTCTAAACAAACCCTTATGGATAGTTATTACATTTCTTAGGACTATCAATTCTGGACGAGGGCAGATGACCGTGGCTATTTTTCAATTAGCAACATACGTACTGGCACATATAATCTTTATGCATGGGTACCTGGTTTTATTGGAGATTATCGGTATGATGCTGTCATTAACATAACCTCAGGTAGTGTTTTCTCAACATCTGGGACTTTCTGAATTCTGAAGTCAGTTGTTTTATAAATATTTTTTGCGGGATACAAGGGGAATTTGAATAAAAAATTTTGTTTCATTACTTGTGATACAGGTTCTTTTATTGAAATTGGTGATCTTGTGTTTGAACCTCCAAGAGATGGGCCAACATTGTGGGAAATAGGCATTCCGGATCGTTCTGCTGCAGAGTTTTATGTTCCTGATCCTGATCCAAATCATATTAACAAATTGTTTGTTAATCATCCTGACAGGTTAGCTATCTTATTGCAATTTCAGAACGTTGATTATAGTGTGATCAAAACTAGCATTCTCTTCTCTGAACATGCAAATGTAGAAACTTGTTTTGTATCATCTTAAATGTCGCTTTGCTACTTCTAAATGATTCACCAGCCAAATTAAGGACCCATGATTAAGAGTTTGGTATTAATTTTTTGATGTGAAACCTTGATCTTATCCTTCTGCAGGTTCAGACAGTATGGGCTGTGGAACAGATATGCCGAGTTATATCCTCATGAGGACTTGGTGTACATTGTTGGTGTTAGTGATTATGCTAAAGATTGGTTCTTTGCTCAGGTTCCCAGGTGCACTTCTTTTGGATAATGGCTGTTGTGAAAATTGTAATGTGATGACAATGGTACTGTGTTGTTGATTACCTGCTGCTTAAAGTTCTTGTGTACTGTAGGCAAAAAGAGAACGGACATGAAGGAACAACATGGCAAATTAGGTTTGAACTAAGAAATGTGGATCGGAACAGCACCTATAAACTACGGGTGGCGATTGCATCTGCAACTCTTGCTGAATTGCAGGTAAGATAATGATCTATTCATTAGTAGATTATAAATCATACTAATTTCTTTGTCCGTTTCATTTTTAAGGTTCGGATTAACGATCCAAATTCGAGGCGACCTCTGTTTACAAGTGGATTGATAGGGAGGGATAACTCCGTTGCAAGACATGGAATTCATGGGATTTACTGGCTGTATAACGTGAATGTACCAGGCGCTCAGCTCGTTGACGGGACTAATACTTTCTTCTTCAAACAACCAAGGTGCACCAGTCCTTTCCAAGGACTCATGTATGATTATATTCGATTTGAAGGTCCCCCATCTTGTGGTTCGAGTTCATCTTAGTATGGAATTCATATGTTTGTATATAATAATGTATATGTACATATACATATACACAATTGAATCCTATTATATCTAATATGTATTTATAGTAGAAAAAGAAAAGAAAATGCTATCTAATATGTTTTTATAGTAGAAAAAGAAAATAAAATGCTATGTTATACAATCAAATCTCTCTCCCTCTCTCTCTCTCTCTCTCTCTCTCTCTCTCTCTCTCATGGACCCTAGATCCCAATACAACCAAATTATTTGTTGGTCTTTACTTCCTGTTTTTCTTTTAAGAAACAAAGGAGAGAAATGTAGAGAGAGAAGAAAGAGTTGAAAAACATGTGCAGTGCCCACTTTGTTTGGCGTATACAATAATCTGTATGTATTGCCCACTGCCATAACTTAGACATCAATTTACTAGTTCTTTAAAACCCAAAGTAAGTTTAACTGGTGGTTAGAATCAAAGTGGACATGGACCTGGACATGCGGCTTGACTTGCATTTTAGCCTAAGAAGGCTTTATTGGTTGCTCTGTTGTGGATTGACAATCCAGCCAAGTAATTCTAATTTTGGTCCCCATTTGTCAACTTGATTGGCTGGATTTGGTTTATCAACAAGAAATAAATTGTAGTGGTCCCCGCTTGATCATGGATGGCAAAACTCATAGGTCATGATTTGCCATATATCAGCAAGATATGCTATGTGTTCAGAAGTTTCATGTTGCCAGATTGTAAAAGTTCAATAGCAAGCAAGTGATGGTGCAGATAATCTAAATTAACAATTTGATATTATAATATGTCAAATAATTTAAGTATGGATGTATCAGTGGCGGATACAGAAATTTTCTAATGTAGTGGTCTGTTGACAATTACGCTCCACTTTGTTAGACACTTGATGATAAAACAACTTCCACATCATCTTTATTTCAGACCTCCAGATTTTATGAGATGCAAAAGCTCAAAGATGTTGGAAGTTTTTCTTTTGATCCCAAAATCCTAACCTTATAAATTTTTTAACACCAAAAAGTACTCAAATAGCCAAGGTCTAGCCCAGTGGAAGTGTCTCAAGTGTACTCAAATAGCCTTAACTTGCAGACTAGGTCTCAAGTTCGAGTTCTCATGGCAGCTTGATAGTGTGTGTGAGAAAACCCCATCATTAATATCGCTTGTATAAAAGAAAAGTACTCAAATATATAATATTTGCGGCTGGCCTGCGAAGCATAACGACTCTTGCACGCCTAACAAACAAAACAATGTGCCGACTAAGTAACGACATTACAGAAGAGAAAAATGGAAAGAAAAAAAAAGGATTGCTTTCTTTCTACTCCATCAAACACACTGTATATAATGCTGAATACAATTCTAATAAGCCTTTACATTTTGCCTTTGCAGCTTGCAGAGAGGTATGATTGAATGCAAAGCTTCTCTCGTAAATAGTCATCAAGCTCTCTTAGATAATCTTGCATCTTCTTCTTCTTTTTTTTTCCTACATTATTACTGTTTCTTTTGTTTTTTCTTTCAGAAATTCAATTGGAGTTCTGAAATTAGCAACCTCATCATGCCACCTATTGGGGTGAAATTACTCATTCAAGATCGCCATGTAATAAAATCTGCATGTATGATTTATTTATTTTTTACTAGTTGGGTGGTTTAATTAATTAATGAGACTTTATATTATTATAAATGCAGGTGATGATGGATAATGGGATTGTCCAAGTGACATTATCAAACCCAGACGGAATAGTCACTGGAATTCGATTCAATGGCATCGATAACTTGCTGGAGATTCGTAATGAGGAAATTAACAGAGGGTATAGCATGATAAAATCAGTTACAACTTAGGAAATTTTTTTTACATCTTTTATTTATTTTGTAATGATTCATTTCTAATTTCGAATTAATGGAACATGCAGGTACTGGGATCTTGTTTGGAATTCAGCCACTACTGGAACAACAGGAATATTTGATGTGTAAGTCCCAATATTGCTGCCCTATTTTTAAATATTTTTTTATAGTGTTTTTTTAGTACAAGCGATTTGTTGGGGGGGTTTGTTTACATAAATATTCATAGGTGCCTGGGGGTTTCGAACTGCTGCCCATATGAGTGGAGGTGGGAGAACTCAACTAACTGAGTTATACCCCATTGACAAAGGAACATAGTATAATATAATTTTTTTAAATTTTTTTTATTGTTTCTTGTTTTCACATTACTAATTTTGATGCAGGATCAAAGGAACAAGTTTTAGGGTTATAATGGAAAGTGAAGAACAAGTTGAGCTCTCTTTCACAAGAGCCTGGGATCCCTCCCAAGAGGGCAAGCTCGTACCCTTAAATATTGATAAAAGGTCTTTGCTGAAATTAATGCCAATGTATCTTTATATCTCTAATTGAATATTATTTGAAAATAATATGTTGATTAATTATTAATCACAAGTAGTAAATTATAGGTTCATTATGCTTCGAGGTTCCTCAGGCTTCTACTCCTACGCCATTTACGAGCACTTGAGGGAATGGCCTGGTTTCGAGCTTGGAGAAACCAGAATTGCTTTCAAACTCAGAAAAGACAAGTACGCAAATCCCTTCAAATTGAGAAGAATTTAAAACCAAAAACAAAAACCTTTCATGATAGCCCTTTCTTAAAACTTCACTTGGGGTGATTTGGAAAATATGGTTGAAAATATAGTAAGTTTCACTTCACAAATCCAACATCTACCTTATAAATCTTTTGGCTTTCAAAAACCAAAAAAAACACATACATGTAGTCTTGGGATGTCAAACAAGCCGAGAAACTGTATTTGTGGATTTTGAAAAGAAAAAAATTGTGTGGGATATTCCTGTCACGTGACAGTGTTGAGTGGTAGAACAACTTAGTTAAAAGATCACATATGACTAAAGTAAATACAAATAATTTTTTACATATGTATTCATATATCAATTTTTAAAATGAATTGTTGTGCCACTCAATATTGCCACTCATCAAGAACATCCTTATACAAAAATTTCATTAAACTTTGTGCATACTTTAAGCAAACATGAACAATTTAGTCAGGTACAATGCTTTAAATCCCTGTCTTTTATGTGGTGGAACCCATGATGTATGTGGATTTTTGGACAAGTAGGTTTCACTACATGGCCATGGCAGACAATAGGCAAAGAAACATGCCATTGCCTGATGACCGTTTACCGTCGAGAGGCCAAGCCCTAGCCTTCCCAGAGGCAGTTCTTCTTGTCAATCCTGTGGAGCCAGAGTTCAAAGGAGAAGTAATTAATATTTCCTCTCTCATCAAGAAATCATATATCTCTGCATATAATAAGAGCAATCTTATCTAACTAATTTCCCTGGATGCTACTTAATCAGGTGGATGACAAGTACCAATACTCATGTGACAACAAGGATAATAAAGTACATGGGTGGATATGCACTGAGCCACCAGTAGGGTTCTGGCAAATTACACCAAGCAATGAGTTCCGATCTGGTGGACCCTTTAAACAGAACCTTACCTCCCATGTTGGCCCCACCACCCTTGCTGTAAGTTGACTTCTAATCCTGTTTGAGACTGCTTTCTTCTACTTATAAGCACTATTTTTACAAGTGTTTCTACTAGAAGAAAATCAAAAAATTTATTACAAGTCAAAGTGTTTCCTAAAAATGTACTTGAAAGTGATTTCTGACAAAGAAGCACCTTGCTGGTGCTTCTCCACCCATAAGCGCTTTTAATTTTTTTTTTTTTATGCTAAACACTTTTGAAAAAGCTTTTAGTTGTCAGAAAGAAAGCGTTTTTACCATTTCTAGAAATAGTTCCAAACAAACCATAGTGTAATATTATCCCACATTGAAAAAGTAAAATCTTGATCCATTGCTTTTGGATTAAATGTTCTAATTCTATCAATTTAGTATACAGAAGTTTTAACCTATTGTTCAAACATGAATGATACAATCAGATGTTTCTAAGCGCTCATTATTCTGGAGAGGATTTGGTGCCAAAATTTGCAGCGGGTGAGCAATGGAAGAAAGTTTTTGGGCCAGTTTTTATGTATGCTAATTCTGCATATGAAGGAGATGATCCGCTTTCGTTATGGGAGGATGCTAAATCACAGGTTTTTAACAGATTGCTAATTAATAACCACATTTTCTTTAATTTAATTTCTTGCAAAGTATATAGGTACTTTATCATAGATGGTGACCATATACGTATGCATCTAACTTTACTTCTGTTGCAGATGATGATGGAAGTCCAATGCTGGCCCTACAGTTTCCCAGCATCTGAGGATTTTCCCAAGTCACACCAACGGGGTAGTGTTAGTGGTAGACTACTTATTCGAGACAGGTAAGCGTATACAATGGCGGAGCAAGCTTTCAATTTTTTTTATACGGCAAACTATACAGATTTATTATTTTCAACATTACAGAAGTTCAATATGAACTTTAGTAAAACAAATTTCTCAAATTCTAGAGGGAATAAACTTCTTATAGTTCTTTTATATTTTCAAACTAATTATAAGTATATCAATGTTATTTCGATGTCAATATCTAGATATATCAGCGATGACTACATATCAGCCCAGGGTGCATATGTTGGGTTAGCCCCGCAAGGAGACGTTGGATCGTGGCAAAGAGAATGCAAGGTGACTGAAACGTTTTTAAGTGGGTGGACTAAACTATTTTGTTGCGGTTGCATTGTGCTTGGTGTTAAGTTTTTATACCTACATGTTTATATAGAAATATTTTCTTCTTGCCAAACAGTTTGACGTGTTATATATGTATACGCTAGTTAGTAGATTTTCAATTAGAACTGAGAGAAATGTCATAACTCGGCCTATATGTTCTATTCACTTCTTATTAGAACTATCAATTCTGGACGACAGCAGACGAGAATGGCTACTTTCTCATCGACGGCATACGCACTGGCGATTATAATCTTAATGCAACGGTCCCTGGTTTTATCGGAGATTATCAATACGATGTCGTTCTGACTATAACCTCAGGTCCAACTTCCTTAAATGTTAATTTCTATAGTTTTCATTTTGATTTTCAGTTCGCGTATCCACTAAAATATTGAAAAAAATGAGCAATGCACAGAGAAATGTGGAATGAATACATTTATATCTTACATACAAAACTAATAATTGGAAACAAATGCAGGTTGTGAGGTTGAGATGGGTGATCTTGTGTATGAGCCTCCTAGAAATGGCCCTACTTTATGGGAAATAGGCATTCCTGATCGGTCTGCTGCAGAGTTTTATGTTCCTGACCCTAATCCAAAGTACATTAACAAACTCTTTGTCAACCATCCAGACAGGTTAGCATGCTCCTTTGCTGTATTTTATCTAATTATGTAGGGAGTTAATAACAGATCTTAAGTTAAAGAAAAAAAAACGATAAATTAATTGTATGCACATGTGCTGGACTGTGATTTACTTAATTATTACAGAGACCAAGTGCGAGCATCCACCACCTCACGTGTGAGGTCTTTTGCACCTATAAGAGCAACTCCACCCATTTGTCCTTTGCCATGGCCGGGAGGGGGGTAGGGCAGCCACTATTCACGTGAATAGTGGTTGCTCTTGCAAAAAGCAACGTGTGTTTTCACCCATTGTCATGACAAAGGGCACTTACTATTCATTTATTTTGTTTTTTTCACAACTTTTTTCACCTCAATAATTAATTTGGATAATATTTTCGGGTTCCTACGTGTCAATACTATTCATATATCATAATTGGATAAAATTTTTTATTTCAAATTTCAGATAAATTTAAAAAAAAATTGGCTGGTATTTATAGAAAAAAATTCATTAATTTTTGGGTATTTTTTTAAAAAATTTCTGAATTTTTTTCTGAATTTTTTTCAGTATTTTATTGCAAAAAAATTGGTTGCCCTTGGATTGAAGGAAAAAATCCGATCAGAGAGTATGGACGACACCACGTGGCAACAGTAAAAAAAATTCAAATGAGTGGGCTAACCCCAGCCTGGCGTCAGCGATGACATCTGCCCAAAACTCGGGCTCGCGCTCGGGCTGAACTCCCCTTCGGGTCAGCCCAGGCTCGTGGCCCCCACCTCCTGCCTGAGCAAGCCTTTGCTGCTGGAAACGTGATTTGGGCTCAAAACCCCCCCAGCCTTCTCCGCTGGAACTGCTCTAACATATGGGCAATTCTTAGTGAGTGAGTGAGAAAATATGGGTCATTAGGCGCTTAACATATAGATAGCATGCTCTGATACCATATATATATATATATATTAAAAATGTTAGTATCCAACCCAAAACTAATTGGTAATGGATACAAAAAGTCCTTTTTAACTCTTAAGCTAGGCTTCAATCCTTCGATTTGGGATACTATCAGCACGAAGTACTTCTTACAACAAACAGTTACAAATATAAGGTATAATTTATAAGATATTGATTATTTTTTTCTTCTTAAATTGGCAGGTTTAGGCAGTATGGATTGTGGGAAAGATACTCAGAGTTATATCCTGATAAAGACTTGGTTTACACAGTTGGTGTCAGTGACTATAGCCAAGACTGGTTCTTCGCTCAGGTTAACAGGTGCCATTCTTCCCCATTAATGTTTCTTCTTGATCCAGACTTGTCTCCATGTACAGCATGTTGTTACTTACATTTTCTTTTCTTTTATTAATTAATATTTAGGAAGAAAGATGATAATAAATATCAAGGAACTACTTGGCAAATCAAATTCAATCTTGACACTGTAGACCAGAGTGGTCCCTATAAGCTGAGACTAGCAATTGCATCAGCAACTCTCTCTGAATTGCAGGTATATAAGCATGAAACTACTCACCAAACCCACTACTAACCTTCGTGATTACTTAATGCACCCATATATGAATACTTTTGGCTATATTATTTTACATAATTATTGAAATATATATGTTTTTTTTTATATAGGTTCGGGTAAACGATCCAAAAGCGTACCCTCCTCTTTTCTCAAGTGGGATGATAGGTAAAGACAATTCAATAGCAAGGCATGGAATTCATGGGCTATATTGGCTTTTCAATGTCAACATACCCAGCTCTCGAATTATTGAGGGAGATAATATTATCTATTTGACGCAACCAAGAAGCACAAGTCCTTTTCAAGGGATTATGTATGATTATCTTCGTTTAGAAGGGCCCCCATCACCAAGTTCCAAAAGAGAGACTTGAGGAGGTTCTTCCTAAAAGATTTGAATCATTATCTCTTTCAATAGGTTTACTATCATTCCATGGGCTTAATGAGAGATTGTAATAATGACGCAGGAACTAGGATTGTACTTTCTGTTTCTCAAAAACATGCTTGAAGTTGATTGTAAAATAGATATATAAAATGAATGAGATTGAGGTTTCTTCAATAAGCAGATATGGGCTTAGCCAAATTGGCTAGAGCCACTTTGCACTCGAGTTCGAATCCCTCTCTTTGTAGTTTAGATTAGATTAAAATAGATTATCGCATGTGAAATTTTTTTTTAAAAATTCTTCAATAATGGGTGTCTTTGAATTAATTTAAAGAGCATGATCACGTGTTTCTTAGGTACAAATTAAATATTTACTGGGTAGGTATGGTGTTGATAAAAAAAACCTCAAATTTGTATGTAGATGTAAAGGAATTCTGACAAAGTAGAATGCACTTATTTAAAATTCAAAGACAACAATAACCAATTATCAAGAAACATAATTTGCCTTGTAGAGTTTATTACTCATATAGTTGAGCAGGAAGGCGTGGAGTGAAAAGGACTTCAAGTGGGGTAGCTTTATTGTTGGTCAGTCCCACCGTCTCACCCATGTCGACCGGCTCATCCGTTGAAGTTGCAATTTCAAAACCGTGAAGCAAAGAAGCAAGTGTTAATGCTATAACCTTAAGGGCAAGTGACATTCCAGGACACATTCTTCTACCACTTCCAAATGGAATTAACTCAAAATCATGACCCTTCACGTCAAGGCTCTTGTGGGTTGTGAGAAATCGCTCTGGTCGAAACTCATTCGGGTCGGACCATACCCTCGGGTCTCGATGAAGCTTTGAAAGGTTAACAAGGAGGCGCGTGCCTGCCGGGACATGATAGTCACCGACCATGCAATCTTCAGTCGACTCGTGAGGCAGGGATAATGGTCCAGCAGGGTATAAACGCGTTGATTCTTTAATAATGGCTTGGAGATAGACCAAGTTCTTGATGTCTGATTCCTTCACTTGTCTGTCTTTACCAATGATTTGGTCTAGCTCTTCCTGAGCCTTCTTGAGGGCTTCGCGGTTGTTGAGAAGTAAAGCCAGAGCCCATGTCATCTGCACCGCAGGCGCCTCTATGCCGGCTACTATAAGAGTCTGCAAGAAAAGAACACATTGCAACACGCATAACATGATTTTTTGTTCACCGAATGATGTATCAGTTATGTCGTTTTTGGTTATAATCAAGTGAAAAGGTTCATAATGGAGGAAAAATTGAATAGATGAAACACTGTCACATTATCTTTTAATATTATAAAAGAAAAGAAGCGCATACCATGGTAGTTGCTTTGTTGACAGTATCGGCATTATAATCTGTAGTAATCTCATTAGCACCATCAACATCAAGAATGGAAAGCATCACATCCATGAAATCAAGCTGATCATCATCACCCTTCACTTGGCCTGAAATCTTCCTCTTCTGCTTGTGCTCTTCTAGCCATCCATTAAACACAAGATCAAGCTCCTTGGCTACCTTCTTCATGGCCCTCTCATGGCCACCCAAGTCCAACCACCTCAACCAGGGAATCGCATCGGACAGCACAAAAGTCCCAGACAATCTCAGAAAATCCATGTACGTCTCCTTCTTTAAATAATAATTACTGCCTTTGGAATTTGAGCTTGTTGCTTCCCCAAATCGTTTCCCTACAATCATCCTAAACACAATGTTTTCATTTATGTCCAAAAACCATTCCCTCATCTCCACCAACGCCTTGTTCGAACCGGTACTACTCTTCCCGTTGGTCACGCATCGCTCGTATATTCCTTTCATGGACGCCTTCACTTCGGACTCTCGAACGTGTTTGAGCATCTCAAGGCGGCTGTTGGAGAGAACCTCAAGCGTAACTATCTTGCGAACTTGGCGAGAGTAGTGGCTGTAAGGGCTGAAGGGGAGGAAGGCATAGTTGTAGGCCATGATTTCAGCCGCCATGAATTTCGGACGACTAGCAAACACTTTGTCGTTGGTAGTAAAACACTCTTTTGCTATTTCTGAGCTGCTTACAATCAGAGCTTTATGCACTCCTATATTTACCGTGAAGATTGGCCCATACCTCTCAGCCATTTTACCCAAAACTAAATGGGGTGGTTTTGAACCTCCTAGTAAGTGGAGGTGGCCGATTATAGGCCACGCACCCCCAGCTTTTGGTGGTGATTTTCTTTCCCCTCTTGATTTCATTAAGAGAGAGTAAAGAAAGAGTGAAAAGGCAGCTGCCACAAGAGGTATCAAGAGATCAGATGAGCATGAGAGGTTAAAAAACTCCATGGCTGGTTAGACTTTGTTCTTCAATTGGGTTTGAGTTTGAGGATTTGGAGCTGAAAAACTTGTGATATATATAAGCGCATTTTCAAGGAAGAACACACAAATAAAATGGGCAAAATTGTACCATATAATAACCCAGGTTGCCGCATTGCCTATCCGGAGACAATAGGAAAATGCGTATGTGGCTGCTCCTTTACCCACTCCCTTAAAGTTGCTCTTAGAAAAATCGATTGACGTTGATTCGTGCCAATTGAGGACAAACACATTGACAATGACTGGGAAAGAAGAACCAATTAGAAGGCATGCACACCCAACAAGTGACATCAACAAAACAACAAGGAAATGATAATTCCGCAACAGTGTTAAGACATGTGTTTAATGTAATTCATGCATTTCATGCACTTTAGCTTTCCTGTAACATTTATATCATGTTCTAAAGCTCCCAGAATTGTTTATTCATTATGTGTTAGTAAACAAAAGAAATCAAGAATCATAATAAGGCAAGTATTTTCACACAAACCAAAAAAGAAAAAGAAAAAGAAGAGTGCTCGATTGGGACCTTTCAACTTTGAGGCTTGATTTCTCAATTTCATCTTTTGGCGGTCAATCAAACATCTTTCGAACATTGTAAGTTTCTCCACCTTCACTGCCACAAGCTCGAAGCAGATGATCCTGCCGATTTTGAGGCTGAGAAACTGTATATGTCTCAAGATTTTATCAACATGATGTGAAGGAGAACTCCCTTTCTCAAAGAAATGCTTGAGCGAGGCTATAGTTTCATATTCACGATAAGTTTTCTAGCTTACATATATAAAATGTGATTCAATGTATTACATATGAGGTCGTTGGTCACGATTACTCGACCAATTGCTAAGAATATAATATCAATGTTTTCAAAGGCGAGGCGCATAGGCGACGTTTTTAGTAGTGATACGCGAGGCGTAAGCCTTGAAGCATTGAGGCATAAGCCTTTTGAACATTAAGTTATTCTAATAAGAAAAATTTATGAATAATACAATACGATTAAATTGTACAACTAATTCTTATTCAACCATAAAAATCTTTTAAATATAATCAAATATAAGTACTAATTGTCATTCAAAACATAATAATCAATCCCAAAACATAAAATATTTATTCAACATCAAAACAAAAACATAATTCACTCATCCCACTCCTCAACACTAATATCATTCAAACTAGAATCACTATCATATTGATCAACTGTATCAATATGAAAAGGAATTTTCCCACTATCAAATGTTGAAGGATCTTTATCTATCTCATCATCTTCATCCATAAGCATCGCTCTTATGGACTTGCTTTTGACTTTCCTCTTACATGTACATATAAACAATGAATTAAAATTATAAAATTTAGTGGTAATGAATTAAACACTAATTTTAACTTTCACTCCATGATTTACTTTCCATACTTACTTGAGGTTTCACCATCTTTTCTCTTTTTTGAAGCTAACGAGGAAAGAAGAAAATCATCGTCAAGAATAAGATCATCATCAATAATAGGATCTTGAGTTCTAGAATGGACAATAGGCTTTTGAGTCCTAACATGAATATTCCTTCGCTCTTGAGTCCTAGGATCACCAATAGGCTCCACAGAAATAGGCACTCGAGTATGTAGATCAGTTTCATAAGGTTCAGTGGGCATATTTCTGATGATATCAACATCATATAATTCTTGAGAATTAAGCCAAGTAAGATCAGTTAGTAGAATTGGTTTTTCAACCTCACCTATCCATTCATCATCTAACTCAATTTCATTCACCAATATTGGATCAATCTTTGACCTCCTTCTAATACTTCTCTTTCTTAGTGCCGTATTATAATTCACATATACTAGAGCATTGAGCTTTTGATGTTCAAGTTTATTTCTTTTCTTTGTATGAATCTAAAATGAATATAAACATACAAAATTAGATTTAGAAGCATCAAAATTTGAACAATAAATTAATAGAAGAACTTTATTGTTCAAATAAATGTTAAACTTAATTAGATGGATTTGTTTTTGCTTATTGATGCTTTGAAGAGTAAGATAAGAAGTGGAAAACCGTGTGATTGCAAGGCGAATTATCTCTTTGTTTTTCGTGAAAGATCTCATCAAAGAAAGAACCCATGTATGCCCATAAATAAACTTCACTACTTTCTTGGCTAGTCTAATTGTATCTTCAAAAACTTTTATTTTGCTAATATCTTCTAACATCAAATTAATGCAATGGGCACCACATGAAGTCCACCATAACTTCTTCCTCTTCTCCATAAGTTTCACTCTAGCATTTTGTAATTGGAAGCATTATCTGTTATTACTTGAATGACATGCTCCTCTCCAATTTCTTTGACAACATTATCTAAATATTTGAACAATAACGTTCCATTTTTTATGGAATCAAATGCATCAATAGATTTCAAAAACCAAGTACCTGCTAGGCTATTCACAAGAAAGTTTATTAGTACTCTATTTTTACCATCAGTCCAACCATCAGACATAATAGTACATCCATACTTTGCCCAAGCTTTTTTATGTTCTTCCATCATCGTATTAATGTAGCCAACTTCTTCCTTAAGGGTCCAAGTCCTCAACTCATGCATTGATGGAGGCTTAAATCCTACACCATATGCGGCAATCCCTTCCACTATAGGTGCCAAAATGGATCATTTACAATATTAAATGGGAGTGCTCTAGAGAAGAAAAAACGACCAATATTTTGACAAACTTCCTTTCTTTCTTCTTGTTTGTATGCTGAATTTAATGTACTTTGCCGAGCTTCTAAAGTGACAAATTTATCCATTGGTCCTTTGATTTGGTTGATGAAGTTGTGGCTTATCAACTGCAACACTCCTAGTACCAGGGATTCCATATTATTCATCCAATGAAGTTTCCACACTCAGAGCCCCTCTCTAAGCATTTCATTTTTCTTCCTTTTTTCAAGCTGAAGATTTTTCAAAGTTGCGGCACACTCTTTTTTCACATGCTCAGGAACTTTCTTACATGGTTGCATACCATGATGAGTTTGACCTAAATGATGCTTAAGTCTAGAAATTCCTCCATTACATCTTTGATCACAAAATGCGCATCTCAAGTATTTTTTCCCCCTCTATTTCTTTTGCATACTTCCACACAGGATATTTTCGATTCATATCTATAAAACAATACCATTAATATTTCTAAGATACAAGTATGATGCATGTACGTCAAATTTCTACTATATCACATAAGCGAATAAGATAACTAGTATATTTTAAAAAAAAATTTGAAAAAAAATTATACGAAACTTCAAATTACAGTTTATTACAGTCAAATTATACAAGTATGATGCATGTAAACAAAAAAAAAAAAAAAAAAAAAAAAAAACAAAGACGGTTGAAAGATGAAGAGAATTCTTGAAATTGATGGAGTTTATTATGAGTATTGGGTAGATAATTAGGGGTTGTACACGTACTATACAATATATATATATATATGTATATATATATGTATATATATATATATATATAGTCCATGTGTTAATATATTAATTTAGAGAAAGAAAAAAAAAAGGTAAGTACAAAAGCTACAGCCGGTTGGAGTTAGGAAAAAAAAGAAGAAAGATATTACTTCTTGCCTTAAGTTTATTACAATAAAGGTAAGGGAAAAAAAAACTGAAACTTACGTTTTTTATTTTTTCAACACACTCCAAGTGAAACGACGTCATTTCACTATAAGATTATTTTTAAAACACTGCAATCAAAACGACGTCGTTTCATTACAAACCTAAAAAAAAAAAGAGCGAGTTGTCTTCCTCGCAGAAAATTTGCAGACTCTCAAATTTCTTCCGGTTCAGAAGTTTCCATATTTGGTACGCCTTGCAACACCTCGTTCCATTTGGCCCCGCCTTGGAATGCCTTCTCACGCCTTTCCAGCACTAAACGTGCAACTCGCAAAACAGTCGACCGCCTCGGGCGTTTTCCTCTCGCCTCACACCGATGTGCGCGAAGGTATGCCTTTGAAAACACTGCTTGGAAGTGCAAAGTGACATGGGGCTAGGTTTTTAATTGCTTCACTTCTAAATGATCATGAAAATAATTAAAGACAGATTTATTTATTTATAAATGTATTGTCACCCTATCAAGAGGATTAATTGTCTCAGTGACAACTGCACTCTTTCTAATTTGAGTGACTACATTTTTTTTTTCTGAATGAGACGAATTCCATTCAATAAGATGAACTTCCTAAAATTAACACTAAATTCCGTTTTTCTAGATAGTTGTACTGGGGTGGAGCCCACCCTAGTCTAACTATGGCTCCACCCTTGCTAATTTGTGACTATATGATGCTATATCCTTAATTGTCAAGGCTATAATTGAGATTTTACATGAGATGGTTAAGTAAAACTCTCTTAATTATGTCCTCTTCCTTCCCCAATTAGCTAATTCAAAGTGTGGATCTGAAATCCCAATGAACATTAGCCACTAATTGGAAACCAAAATGTGCGAGAAGCTTTCCAAGTTTCACCAATTTTGGATGAATCCCTCTAAATATGTGCCTCAATAGCTCTTGCATAGTGGACTATAAAATCAAATCCTTCTACCATTCTAATCAATAGCACCCAAAAACGTACAAAACCTCAACACCAAAAATCCAAAAAAAGAAAAAATGAAAAAAATGGCTGGAAAAACAACATGCATGGGCGTTGATGCAGCTCTAACCATGACATTAATTCTCCTCACTGCCACCATAGCCATGGCGGATGATGATACACCGGTACCAGCCGACCAACCCCAAGTCAACACGTGGTTCAATGACAATGTGAAGCCGTACACAGAACGGCAGGGCACACTTGACCCTGCCCTTGCAACGGCTGAGGCTGGTCAAACCGTCATCAAGGTCATGAAAGATGGAAGTGGACAATTCAAGACTATTACTGACGCCATTAATAGCATTCCGGCCGACAACACCAAACGTGTCATTGTGTACATTGGAGAGGGAGAGTACGAAGAGAAAATCACAATTCCACGGAATAAACCATTTGTTACATTTTTTGGCTCTCCAACCAAGATGCCAACTTTGACCTTTGCTGGCACAGCCCAAAAGTATGGAACTGTGAACAGTGCCACAGTGATTGCTGAATCTGACTACTTCATGGCAGCTAATGTTATTATTAAGGTATTTAAATTTATCAAATCAACATGTCACATGATATTATCATCAAAGAATAAATATTTGTCGACATTCTTTTATTATTTTTGTGTGGGGATTAAAATTTGAGTTGATTTGTGGTTGTGAAGAACTCTTCACCAAGGCCAGATGGGAAAGCAGTGGGAGCGCAGGCAGTGGCATTGAGGGTGTCGGGGAACAAGTCAGCCTTGTACAATTGCAAGCTTATTGGTTTCCAGGACACCCTTTGTGATGACAAGGGCAATCATTTTTTCAAGGACTGCTTTATTGAAGGCACTGTGGATTTCATATGGGGAAGTGGAAAGTCTCTCTATTTGGTAATGTCACCCAAACTCTCCTTATAATTCCTCAATGGAAGGAAAATCTATTGAGGAACTCTATATGCGAGTCTCGTCATATAATAGTGAATTTCACGTACATGTTGTAAGAGAAACGTTATATGTACGATTAACTCATCTGTATAATTGAGCTTGTTGATGGTCTATATTATGTCATGGTTTTGATGGTTAATTAATTAATGGGTGCAGAACAATGAGTTACATGTGGTGGGGGATAATGGATTAACAGTGATAACAGCACAAGCAAGGGACTCAGCTTCAGATGATACTGGATACTCATTTGTCCACTGCAAGATAACTGGGACTGGAAATGGCACATATTTGGGCAGGGCTTGGAGGATCAGTCCCATGGTCGTCTTTGCCTACACCAACATGTCTGAGGTCATCAACCCCGCCGGCTGGAGCAACGATAACCGCCCCGAACGTGACAAGTAAGCAAATTTACATACACTAATTAAACAATTTCATATAATTGATTGGTTTTGAGAGTTAATTAATACTTATCAATAATTTCTTTTTCTTTTTTTGTGTATGTGACAATGTTGTAGCACTGTGTTCTATGGAGAATACAAGAGTTCGGGTCCAGGTTCAAGTGCGGCTGGGAGAGTAAAATACACCAAACATATGACGGACGAACAAATCAAACCTTTCCTAAGCCTTGGCTATATTCAGGGTTCCAAATGGCTGCTTCCTCCTCCAAATCCCAAAGTGTAGATATTGGATATAATTTTCTTAATGGGTTCCACAATTTAGTAATTAAAGTTCAATTATGAAAATTTTGGGATGGAAAAGCTTGTTTGTTGCCAATGTTTTGGTGCTAACAGAATAAATTGTAATTTATCGATTTGTTATGGATCAAATATACATGTCTGAGATTTTGGGGCTGAGAAACTGTATGTCTCAGGATTTTATCAACATCATGCGGAGGAGAACTCCCATATTCAACATATTATATATGAGGTCGTCGGTCTCCATCAATTGATCAATTGTCCAACAACATAACATATCAAGCTATTGTAAAACGAATTTAACTTCAACCCAAGCAAAATGTGATAAATAATATATTACATAACCATATCTACATTTCTCATAAAAGATGCCATTAATCAAGTAAAATTTTCTATTGCCAGACTGTGAGTTCGTAAAATGATTTTGTTGAATCTGTGTGCACGATACTCAGTATGGCAACTAAACGTTACTCTTATATATTTGTATAAACACAGTATAATTACATGTAGAGAAAATTAAGAAAGCAATACATTTTTCAGCTTCAATGGCGACAAATGGTACTGAAGAAAACCCCATCAGCGCAAACTTCTACATGGTGAGATCCAACAGCAGAACAGTCTCCTTATTCGACAAATAGTATGCCTGGAAAACTACTCCACCAGATTGAAAGAGGATGAAGATGTTGGACACGCTTTACTTCAGTGGCTTCTGTGAAGTTAGCAGGGTTCAAAGCTATCACAGCCATGCATGCCAATTGCTGCCGGACTATAGGTGCTAAGGTGGCTGATCTGGCGGCTGTGGTTCACGATTGGAAGAGGTTCAAGAGTTTATCTAATTCCAAGACCATCACTGATGGCGTTAATAGGATTCTTGCCGACAACACCAAAAGTGTCATTGTGTACATTGGAGGGGGAGAGTACAATGAGAAAATCACAATTCCGCGGAATAAACCATTTGTTATATTTTATGGTTCTCCAAAAAATAGGCCAACTTTGACCTTTTCTGGCACAGCTCAAAAGTATGGAACTGTGAACAGTGCCACAGTGATTGTTGAATCCGACTACTTCGTAGCAACTAACCTTATTATTAAGGTGCGTAAATGTATCATGTCAACAAGAAATATTTCATGTTACGTGATATTATCATCATGCGCAATAATCGTTTATCAACATTCTTTTAAAAAATTTGTTTCCTTATTATAATTTGTGTTTGTGAAGAACTCTTCGCCAATGACATATGGGAAAAGGGTGGGAGCGCAGACAATGGCATTGAGGGTGTCGGGGAACAAGTCAGCCTTGTACAATTGCAGGCTGATTGGTTTCCAGGACACACTTTGTGATGACATGGGCAATCATTTTTTCGAGAACTGCTATATTGAAGGCACTGTGGATTTCATTTGGGGAAGTGGAAAGTCTCTCTATTTGGTAATGCCACCCAAACTGTCCCTATTATTCCTCAAAAAATTTTGTTATATATATACCACTAGTAAAAAAAACCCTTGTGTGACCAAATTTTGCGCGACGAAAAACAATTCGTCGCTCAAAGTTACTTTGAGCGACGAAACTCAAAACTTCGTTGCTCAAAGTCTCATCGTCGCATAATGTCACTTTGCGTGAAAAAGTATGAGCAACGACAAAACATCATCGCTCAAAGTGACTTTGCACGACGAAACACTAAACTTCGTTGCACAAAGTCTTGAGCGACGAAGTGTGTTTCTTCACGCAAAGTCTTTACAAAAATAAATAAAATAAAAAAATTATTTTTTAAAATCTTTGCATGAGGTAATTTAAATATTTCTTTGCCTAAACCAATTTATTTTTGTTTTTTATTTATTGTAGTTCGGGTTGGGTTTTTGTTAGAAAATATATGGTTTAAATTGAGGATCTAATTAGTTCATTGTATTCATATAGGGTCAAGGAGTGTAGCTGTAAAAAATCATCAAAATCGAAATTGAAATAACCGTTAAATTGTTATTTTTCGTTTATGACCGTCGAAAAGATTTGTCCCATTACTTGATCTATGAATGTTTATTTTTTCCAATTTTTGGCCTATATGATCTCGAAGTACAAACAAACAAGTTTGACGGTTGGATCGTTGAAACTAGTTTCGTAGAATACGTATGCCATCAAAACAATATATCCACTAACAATTTAGAGTTTATTTATACTTTCGTTAAATATAACATAAGATTTTGTGGTATCCACTAGTGTAAATATTTTAAATTGAAGATCAAATTCAGTCATTGTATTCATATAGGGTCAAGGAGTGTAGCTGTAAAAAATCATCAAAATCAAAATTGAAATAACCGTTAAATCGTGATTTTTCATTTATAATTGTCGAAAAGTTTTGTCCCATTACTTGATCTCTGAATGTCTATTTTTTTTTTCCCGATTTTTGGCATATATGATCTCGAAGTATAAACAAACAAGTTTGACAGTTGGATCGTTAAAACTAGTTTCGTAGAATGTGTATGCCATCAAAACAATACATTCACTAACAATTTAGAGTTTATTTATACTTTCGTTAAACATAACATAAGATTTTGTGGTATCCACTAGTGTAAATATTTTAAATGGAAGATCAAATTCAGTCATTGTATTCATATAAGGTCAAGGAGTGTAGCTGTAAAATAATCATCAGAATCGGAGTTCAAATAACCGTTAAATCACGATTTTTCATTTATAACCGTCGAAAAGTTTTGTCCCGTTACTAGATCTCTGAATATTTTATTTTTGCAATTTTTGGGGTATATGATCTCGAAATATATACAAACAAGTTTGATGGTTGGATTGTTGAATGGTGTGCGTATATATATATATATATATTTATTAAGTAGCTTTAAATTTATAACACTTAAGAAATTGAATAGTGTATATATTTATTAGTAGCTTTAAATTTATTATTGTAGTTAGGATTGGGTTTTTGTTAGAAAAATATATTATAAAAAAAAAAAAAAAAAAAAAAAAAAAAAAAAAGAAGGGAGTAAAGTAACATTTTCAGAAAACTTTATAATAATAATAATAATTTTTTAAAAAATATAACAATGGGGTCGTTGTGCAAAAACCAATAGCACGACGTCATAATGTAAACATGCGTCGGGCAAGCCAATTAATTTTTTTTATTTAATTATACATTATAAATTTTAAGAATAGTTGTTTTCATATGATTTTATTATTTTTTGAAAACTTTGCTCAGCGAATATCAATATTTCGTCGCCTAACCCTTCTTTGCGCGACGAAAATACATTTGGTCGCCTAAACCTTATTTATATTTTAAATCGTAAAATAAAATTATTTTATTTTTTATTATTCATAACAATTATTTTTATAAATATTGCGCTATGAACCAATTTATAAATATTCGTTGCGCAAAACTCTAAAATTTTGGGTGGTCACAAAAAATGGGACGCGGGAATTGTTTGGTCGCGCAAAAAGTTGCACGACCAACAAGTCGTTGTGCAAGACTCTAAAAATTTGGGTTGGCACCAAAAATGGGACGCATGAATTTTTTGGTCTTGCAAAACTTTGCGTGACCAACAATTTGTCTCGCAAAACTCTAAAAATTTGGGCAGGCACCAAAAATGGGACGGGGGATTTTTTTATTTATTTTAAGACTTTGCGCGACCAATATTTCGTTGCACAAAGTGATACAGTTTTTAAAACCAAAATAGCTTCTCCACCATTTTTTCAATGTCTTTCTCTACTCTTACTTTTCCTCTCTCTTTCCCTCTCCCCAAATCCGACCATATCTCTCACACTCACTGTCTCATCTCTCTCTTCACTATCTCTCACTCTCACTCACTCTCTCATCTCTCTCTTTCTCACTTTCTTCTCTAATTCTCTCACACTCACTTCTCCCTTTCGTTTTCATTCACTCTCAATCTTGCCAAAATGTATATTCTCTCCAAAGTTTTAATTTTTTTCATTAATATGTGTTTTTGGAGTTAGTTTTGAGTTTGTGTGGGGTTTGGGGTTGAGTATAGGGTGAGGATTGAAGTTTCGGTTGGATTTGGGGTATAACAATTTTAGGGGAGATTATGCCAATTTTTTGTTATTATTATTATTATTTTTTTGTTATTTGACCATATTTGTTTTTCTGTAGAGAATTGTCGAGACTTTGACGGCTAAAGTTGAGGATTAGGATGCTATCGAAACATATCCTCCGCTACTACCACCACAATAGGCTTGTGTTAGGATTTTATTATTGTACTTTGTTAATTTATGTGTACATTTTGAACATTATATATATATTTTTTATCACTATTTTTCATATGTAATTTTATTTAGAATACACCAATTTAAATTAAAGTAATTAAAAAAATAAAATCATACAATTAAATTTAAAAAGTAAAAATTTGAAAAAATTAATATAAGAGAAATAATGAAACAAAAAGTCAAAAACCTTGCGCAACAAAAATATTTCGTCGAGCAAACTATTAAATTAGTTTATTTTAATTAAAAAATTTTAAAACACAAAAATTTAAAAATTTGAAATATTTCGTCGCGCAAAGTAGATTTGTGTGACGTTAAGGTACGTCGCTCAAAGTAGCTCCGCGCGACGAAGATTATTTTTCGTTGCGCAAACCCTATCTTCACGAGCTTTGCGCGACCAAAATTTTGTCACGCAAGTTTTGCGCGACCAAAATTTTGTCACACAGGTTTTGTGCGACGAAATTGTACTTTGCGTAACAAACTTATTTCGTCACGCAAAGTGTTTTTTGTAGTAGTGTACACAGAGAGCTTCTGATTAGTCAATTTTATATTATATATTTAACCCAATTCTTAGTATATTTTGGTTAATATTTTGGAAGAATTTTGATACTTTGAATTATATTTCCAATATAGATCTTTCAACTTCCTCTAGAGCAAAACATAATCAAATGGACGAATTTTGGAGTAATTCCAGTTGGAGGACGCTTGTGAGTCACTTGGCTTGGTCGTATTGAAATTTCAGACTTTTCTACCAAGATATTATTTGATGGCAATAAAATAAAGGAGCAGTGCGGGGTGCTGGAACAGTGACGTTTTGAGCTTTTATTGCGTTTTTGGAGCCCAAGATGACCTCGGATGGGTTTGTGGCCTTCTGGATAATTGTTTAGAATATTTTTATCTTTAAAACAGGCTATCTTGGGCCAGATTTGGAGGAGATTTGAGGCCAAAACGTGGCTGACCAGTTTGTGGGCGATTCTCCTAATCCAAGTTGGACTTTATTTCCTAGTCTTATTTTATTTCAACTTAGTTTCCTTGTGGGGATTGGGTAGCTAGGTTTTAGGAGGTATTTAAGCTCCTTTTCACAGCAATTTAGGGGACTTCCTTTTGACTTCTTTTTGGCTTTTGGAGCAATTGCTAGGGTTTTGGATTTTCGCAACTTTCAGGAGTTTTCATTCTTATTCATTCGAATGATATTTTCTTGGATTTCAATTATGAGTGTGTGTAACTAAATCTCTTTTGCTAGGGTGAAGCCTTGAGCCTTAGCATGAATATGTGATTTTCATTTAATTGCTTATGATTGAGTGCATGCATGCTTTGAATTGTTAATCACTGTTTTAAACTATCTAAGGGCCTGTTGGGAGTGCTTCTGGAAGGGCTAAAAGTGCTTTATGATAACTAAAAGCGCTTCTAACAGCGTTTGACAGAAAAGTTGAGAAGCGCTTCTGGGTCATCGAAGCGTTTTCTGGAGAAGCACATGCTATGTGCTTATTTAGGAAGCACCTGCTATGTGCTTCTTTAGGAAGCAACTGCTATGTGCTTCTTTAGGAAGCACTCCCAAGTGATTTTTCACGAAGCACTTTAATTTTTTAAGAAAATTCAATATTTTTATAATAAAAGCACTTTTGTTAGAAGCGCTTATGAGTAGAAGTACTTCCTAGAGAAGCAGTCCCAAACAAGCCCTATTGTCTTAATGCCTGATCACCATTAGGATCTTTAGAAAAGTAATTAGATGCACTTTTGGTCGGAAGGTTCCCTGAAATTCGTGCTAGCTTCTTGTGATTAATAATTGTAATTTCACTTAAGATGAACACCACGTCTTGCATGGTTTTTCAAAGGGTTTTCACAAAACTTAATGAGTCTTTCGTGTTTAGATTTGATCCGAACATCCGGACGGGTTGCATGTAGATATACGTTCTATGTTGGAGGTTCCAAGTAGAATATAAATTAAGAAAACCTAACCTTCAAAGTGGCATGTGCAAATCATAAGTAATTGGTAGGAATTCATAGGATTGCTAGGTGACGGTGAAACCCTAGTGCTTTCATACATTGATATTCAAAAATGTTTCTTCCAATCGTATTTGTTTATGTTTAAAATTTGTTTTTAGTATCAACCAAGTTCATATTCATCTCTCTACTTTTAATTTTAGGTTGTTAATTAGAAATTGTTTTCACATAAATTGCTAAATAGTCCTTGAGGAGAACGACCTTGCATGAGCGTCTATACTATAATAGCCTTGTATTCTTGCAAGTATTTTACGTGATTTTAACCCTGTTTGCACAGGTACTAAAAAATCCTATCAGCTTTCATTGAGGGATCCTCAAATAAGCTTATTTGAGGGACACCCCTTATAGGGTCCACTATGGATTGTATTTTACTAATCTAACTCATCTATTTTGTAGATACACATTCAAAGATCATCTCTACAAAAAATCACGTGAATCCGATATCATTTGACCACTCAATTGAGTTATTGAAATTTTAGTAATTTCTTGAAGCACCACCGTGTTCATTGATTTTGTAGGACACAATTAGATGTCGAAACAGTTTCCAATGTCTCTAATTTTTTGTGATGATGATCTATGAATAAAGACCTAAAAAATAGATGGTTTGGATCATTGGAAAAAAAAATTGTAGGGTACCCTAAAGGGCATCCCTCAAATAAAATTATTTGAGGAATTCTTCAATAAAAGGGAACTGTATATATAAAAAATCAGAACGCTATACGCGAGTCTCGTCATATAATAGTGAATTTCACATACATGTATGAGAAACGTTATGTACGACTAACTCATCACTATAATTGAGCTTGTTGGTTGTCTATATATACTATGTCATGGTTTTGATGGTTAATTAATTATGGGAGATTCACTAAAACACCCAAAATGGAGGTTGAAATTATAAAAAAACCCAACACTCAAAACACTTTATAAACACACCCAAAACACATCATTACACACACTCAAAACCCATTTATAAACACACCCAAAAAGTTGACTTTGGGGTTGATTTTGGGTGTGTTTCTATGTTTAAATAGTGCTTGGGTTTTTTTATAAATACATGTCTAGGATTGGGTTTATTTATAAATTTGTAATTAATTAATGGGTGCAAAACACTAAGTTACATGTATTGGATAATGGAATAACAGTTATAACAACACAAGCAAGGGACTCGACTTCAGAGAATACTGGGTACTCATTTGTCCACTGCAAAATAACTGGGATTGGAAGTAACACATATTTGGGCAGGGCTTGGAGGACCAGTCCCATGGTGGTCTATGCCTACACCAGCATGTTTGAGGTCATCAACCCCGCCGGCTAGAGCGACAATAATCGCCCCAAACGTGTCAGGTAAGCAAATTAATATACACTAATTAAACAGTTTCAAAAAAATTGATTGGTTTTGAAAATTAATTAATGCTCATCAATATTTTTGTTTTTGTTTTTGTGTATGCCGTAATAATATTGCAGCACTGTGTTCTATGGAGAGTACATGTGTTCGGGTCCAGGTTCAAGTATGGCTAGGAGAGCAAAATACACCGCACAGCTGAATGAGGAACAAATCAAGCCTTTCCTCAGCCTTGGCTATATTCAAGGTTCAAAATGGTTGCTTCCTCCTCCAAATCCAAAAGTGTAGATTTTCTTAAGACTGGGAAATAGTTTTCTTAACTCTGTATACATGTTTATATATGGGTGCTATTGAGAAAGCCTCACGCACGCCTCATGCAAAATGCACAATGTACAAAATCAATATTATGATTTAATTTCTAAAGATCTTCCGCTATACAATTTGAGCATAGTTTGTCGATTTGATTGGGACAAAAGATACATATGCACAAAGGACCCACTAGTGTATTGGTTTGGAGTATTTACTCCCTCATGTAAGGTTCTGGGTTCGAGTCCTATCTGTGTAATGTGTGTGAGTTTAGTATTATTGCCCATTTCAATAGGAAAAGACCTTAAAAAGAGAAGATGTATATGCGACAATGTGCAAAAATAAAAAATGGACCCCCTTTCAGTTTTCACATAAGAAATAAGTAATGTATTTCAAAGTATCGATCCCTTAAATAACTTCACCTTTTTCAAATTTGCTAAAGAAAAAACATATAAAAATCAAAGTGACCTATATCCTAGAACTAGACTTTTAATTGCTTAACTTCTAAATGATCAGGAAACTAAATACAGAAAATTTTAACTTCTTTTAACTTCGTTATTTTTTTTTAAATATTACTTTTAAAGAATTTATTTTTGGTCGTATATTAATTTTTAAAGATAAGAATTAAGTAACAAGTCCAGTTGTAATAAGTGATTAATTTCATCCAGTTTTGAGTGGGAGTATTGTCTCTCTCATTGTAATATCATCACAACAAAAAAAAAAAAAAAAAAAAAAAAATGGTTCTACTACTACCCATAGACACAGTGGCGGATGCAGGATCCATAACCCAAGGGGTCATAGTGTAAATGTTCCAAAAAAAAATTTTTACAGAGTTTTTCCTTTTTCTTATCTATTATTTCAAGAGCTGATGTTGCTTTGTTTTTCTAAAAAAATAAAAATCACTAGTAAATGCAATACAATAAAATACAAAACAAATTAACACTATTTGAATTTAAAATTTTATCATGCAAAGGTTAGATTAGAAGTTTTAAATTCCTCAATTATTGTTGCATTATCGAATTAAAACATTACTTAAATTTTTATAAATTTCTATATATTTATATTGACTGTTAAAATAGTTTTTTTGTTTGTTAGATAATCTTCTATTATATTATATTGGCCCATAGGATAAAGTTTATAAATAATTCACCCATTACCATGAAGCCAAACCTCATAAAACCGATAAAACAAAAACTAGCCCATTAAACCCATCGACAATGACAAGTGGCAGCCAAATGTTGAACACTAAACCCACCGTTTCACTCAAGGAGGCTAATCACAAAACGGTGTGTTTCGTTTATAAGTGCACGGGCACCGAGACAAGCCAAACATCATCTTCTTTGCCAGGCACACAGTGCCTCCTCTGCAATTCAGAAAACCTTATTAAAGGAGGCTCCACTACCCTCCCCCTACCAAGCTCTGGTGCGTTCGGTCTCTGCTTCGTGGAACAGAGCCATCACAGACTCAGAGACAAGCTGGGACTTTCATCGAGCACCTGGTGTGCACACAAGGGGTCGCTCCGCAGCTGTCCAAGGGGTCGTCTATGGAGTCCACAACCAAATTTCAGGCATTCCAAGGGGTCGTTAGACCCCTCTTGTCCCAACGTGCGTCCGCCCCTGCATAGACATGCGTCAAGTCTTGAGAATGATGGTGAAACTACACATTAGGTTAAAAGTGGTGAATAAAAATGCTCTTAGATAATATAATATTGTCAACGGGTGGTTTTTGGCAGATTCCGGCGAGCACAGTGAATGGCAGTAGCTGAACCTGGTCAGGAAAGGATGGGGGAAGGAAGGCGGTTCAAACCGGTCCGGTCTCGAGGCCGGTCATTGACGGTGGCGGCAGCGGTGGCTTAGAGAAGCCATCGGCTGTGCAAAAAAAAAAATGAAGGGAAGGGGGCTGTTCGAGAGAGAGAGAGAGAGAGAACAGGTTTTTATCAAACCAACTTCGAAATAATTACGATTGTGCCACTGGTGATGTTTTGCTTGTAACTTCTTCGTTTCAACTCCGAATCGAGCCCACTATGTGTCTATGGACTCGTCTCAATACGACCTATGTAACCATACCACTTGTTGTCCCAAAATCCTTCCGGATAAGAAAATAACCAAATTACCCCTACCCCAAGGGTAAATTCGTAATTTCACTTAAGTAAATTAAATGGGTAATTAAATTTGGAGTCGGAGTGTTACATGATCCAACAAATTAAGGGTGGACTCAAAATTGTAAGGAACCGCAACCTCTTATTAATGAGAAGCAGAAATCAAAATGTGCGAGAGAAGCTCTCGCATATCGCTTACTTTGGAGTTAATCCCTATAATCATGCAAAGAAGTCTAAGAAAAGAACAGAAAGCATAAAGGCAATAAAAACCTTACGCCAATTGCAATTTCTAGATCAACAAAATACAATATCCATACTCACAACACAAAGCAACCAAGCAGTTCGGCACAGAGTGTTCTATGAGGTTCATTACGCTATTCGTATTCAAAGATACGAGTAGACAGGACTTTAACGGATAAGGATCTTGCATCATCACTATCAGTGGCAGGTTCATACGCTTTGGAGACGGAATATTCAAATGTTTGGACCATAAGATTCATCTTCTCACCACACCCATTAAAAGGATATTCATAGTCTAGCGAGTAAGAGGCCAAAACAAAGCAGACTTTTGTACCTCCTAAATGGGCAAAACTAGACGAGCTCTTCGTCTACCAACGTCGATTAGGCGCCCTTGCAAGGGGCGGCAAACCTTGGATGCGCCGAATACGAGACTCGTTATTGTACATGCAGTAGGCTACTATACGCCAATCATCTTCAGCAATTTTTACATAGGCAAAGAGTAACTCATCCTTGGTGCCACCAGGACGATTTCGACAAGTCCACAACTAAAGCCCTCCCTACGAAAGGAAAAGGACTGCCTGCGCACATAGAATGCAGTATTTCCCATTCCTGCTTCGGGTCTGCCACGTCGAAGCAGAACACCAGCTGGAGTGTCTTGGGTGCACACCATGATCTTAGTGCCGGCAATGGCATAAGAGAAGTTATGACCGTAGGCCATCAGGAAAAATGGAGAGTTCTCATGGAAACATGGAGGGTACGGGAGAGGGGCCCACGTTTTGCATCTCTTGTTGTCGAATACCTCGAAACACACATCACTGCGGTAGGCTGTGGGATTACTCGCAAGAGCATAGAGTCTCCCGCGCAGCTCCACCAGCAGAGGATTAGGTTTGCCTCCTAGGCAATTACTAATAAATCTTTTGGGCTTGATGATGATGTTGTTTAGCTGTGAAATACTGGATTCAACAGTAGAAGTTAAGGTTGAAGGCATCTCAAACCCACAAAGTTCTGTGCCTGACTGACACTCGCTAGGAGACACAAAGCCGTAGGCGAAAAGAATTTGCGAGCCAAAGACGCCGCAACCCATAAGGCGGGGAAGGGGAACACCGTCTTCATCATTGTAAGAGCAAGCCACTTATGATAACTGACTAGCAGTAGTACTCGATTCAGAGGAGGAGGAATTTAATAAGTCTTTCAATTGGATGGCATGGATTGTTCAAATCACAAAGGACATCATACTTGGTTTCGACGACACATATATACAGATGCTTCAAACCCCACCCAAGATTGTCAAGAACTATCGGCAGCGTCGGCAGATGCATGTATCCAACAAGGAGTGTATAAACTCACAATAAGGCGCCACCAAAGGCAATTGCAAACTTGCGATATGTTTGCATAATCTAAAAACCCTAATTTAGTTAGGAAGATAAATAATAAAATATACAATAAATAAAAAGGAAGTGCAATTTAGTTTAGATTTTAATAAGAAAGTTTTGGTTTCAGTTCCCTTTGGTTAGGAGGAGGAGCTGTCTACCAGCCGACCAATCCCAAGTTCTCTTTGGTTTTAGTTCTCTTTTGTTTTCGATTTTATTAAACTGTTTTAATTTGTTCTAATTAATTTTTTTGAAATAATTAATAGATCAACACAAACAGCAAAGAAGATGAGCTTGAATAAGCTTTATATAAGGCTTCCATGACCATGGGAACTTACAAGACTGATAATTGTGATTGTTAAAGCGTACATAGAAGGAGATAAGCCAATGCTTGATTTATTTTTAGACGGGTTCTGGCATGGAGAAGGCACACGAGGCTTGCTTTCTCAACTTCTTCTTTTGGTGGTCGATCAAACATCTTTCGAACATTGTAATTAAGTTTCTCCACCTTCACTGCCACAAGCTCGAAGCAGATGATTCTGCCGATTTTGAGGCTGAGAAACTGTATATGTCTCAAGATTTTATCAACATGATGTGAAGGAGAACTCCCTTTCTCAAAGAAATGCTTGAGCGAGGCCATAGTTTCATATTCACGGTAAGTTTTCTAGCTTACAGATATAAAATGTGATTCAACGTATTACATATGAGGTCGTTGGTCACGATTACTCGACCAATTGCTAAGAACATAATATCAATGTTTTCAAAGGCGAGGCGTATAGGCGAGGCGTTTTTAGTAGTGCAACGCGAGGCATAAGCCTTGAAGCATTGATGCGTAAGCCTTTTGAACATTAAGTTATTTTAATAAGAAAAATTTATGAATAATACAATACGATTAAATTGTACAACTAATTCTTATTCAACCATGACAATCTTTTAAATATAATCAAATATAAGTACTAATTGTCATTCAAAACATAATAATCAATCCCAAAACATAAAATATTTATTCAACATCAAAACAAAAACATAATTCACTCATCCCACTCCTCAACATTAATATCATTCAAACTAGCATCACTATCATATTGATCAATTGTATCAATACGAAAAGGATTTTTCCTACTATCAAATGTTGAAGGATCTTTATCTATCTCATCATCTTCATCCATAAGCATCGCTCTTATGGACTTGCTTTTGACTTTCCTCTTACCTGTACATATGAACAATGAATTAAAATTATAAAATTTAGTGGTAATGAATTAAACACTAATTGTAACTTTCACTCCATGATTTACTTTCCATACTTACTTGAGGTTTCACCATCTTTTCTCTTTTTTGAAGCTAACGAGATTGAGGTTTCACCATCTTTTCTCTTTTTTTAAGCTAACGAGGAAAGAAGAACATCATCGTCAAGAATAAGATCATCATCAATAATAGGATCTTGAGTTCTAGAATGAACAATAGGCTCTTGAGTCCTAGGATCACCAATAGGCTCCACAGAAATAGGCAATTGAGTATGTAGATCAGTTTCATAAGGTTCAGTGGGCATATTTCTGATGACATCAACATCATATAATTCTTGAGAATTAAGCCAAGTAAGATCAGTTGTTAGAATTGGTTCTCCAACCTCAGCTATCCATTCATCATCTGACTCAATTTCATTCACCAATATTGGATCAATCTTTGACCTCCTTCTAATACTTCTCTATCTTAGTGTCGTATTATACTTCACATATACTAGAGCATTGAGCTTTTGATGTTCAAGTCTATTTCTTTTCTTTGTATGAATCTAAAATGAATACAAACATACAAAATTAGATTTAGAAGCATCAAAATTTGAACAATAAATTAACAGAAGAACTTTACCTGCTCAAATGTGCTCCAATTCCTCTCACACCCAGATTCACTACAAGTAAGGCTAAGGGCCCGAATAGCAAACTTCGTCAACTCAGGTGTGTTCCTTCCAAAACGCTTCCACCAATTTGCTAGAAAAAACAAAACAAATCCATCTAATTAAGTTTAACATTTATTTCAAGTGTTCATTATACTTGAATGAAAATGAAAAAGTAAAGATTATAACCTGGAGTTCGAAGTTTCCTTGAATTCATAGCAAGACGACTTCCAAACTCTCATTTTGCCTCATCATACAAGTCCAATTGGATATCAGCAGCCATACGATCGTCAAAAGACAATATCCTAGTCATGCAATCTTCTAATCCCTTCCTCACTTCATCATCATTAGAAAAGGTTTCTTCATAACACAATTTAGGGTTCAAATAATAACCACCAGCATGTAAAGGTTGATGAAGTTGTGGGCCCATTCTTCTCCAAATTGGTTTATACTTTCTTTCAACTTTTCCATAATTAAAAGCAATCTTCTCTTTTGCAACATCCATTAACTCATAAATAAATCCCATAGCAGATCTCTCTTCTGAATCAAGTTCTCTCAAAACCGATACTAATGGAATAACACTTTTGATGCAAAAAGCAACATGGGACCAAAACTTAACATCATATAGTATAGTTGAGTGAGCCCTAATACCTTCATTATGTTGGACAAATGGTCCATTGTGCCATTTTCTAGAATAAAACATTGCCTGAAAAGGTTGCTTTTGCTTATTGATGCTTTGAAGAGTAAGATAAGAAGTGGAAAACCGTGTGATTGCATGGCGAATTATCTCTTTGTTTTTCGTGAAAGATCTCATCAAAGCAAGAACCCATGTATGCCTATAAATAAACTTCACTACTTGCTTGGCTAGTCTAATTGTATCTTCAAAAACTTTCATTTTGCTAATATCTTCTAACATCAAATCAATGCAGTGGGCAGCACATGGAGTCCACCATAACTTCTTCCTCTTCTCCATAAGTTTCACTCCAACATTTTGTAATTGGAAGCATTATCTGTTATTACTTGAATGACATGCTCCTCTCCAACTTCTTTGACAAAATCATCTAAATATTTGAACAATAACGTTCCATTTTTTATGGAATCAGATATATCAATAGATTTCAAAAACCAACCTGCTGGGCTATTCACAAGAAAGTTTATTAGTACTCTATTTTTACCATCAGTCCAACCATCAGACATAATAGTACATCCATACTCTGCCCAAGCTTTCTTATGTTCTTCCATCATCGTATTAATGTAGCCAACTTCTTCCTTAAGGATCCAAGTCCTCAACTCATGCATTGATAGAAGCTTAAATCCTACACCATATGCGGCAATCCCTTCCACCATAGGTGCCAAAATGGATCATTTACAATATTAAACGGGAGTGCTCTAGAGAAGAAAAAACAACCAATCTTTCGACAAACTTCCTTTCTTTCTTCTTGTTTGTATGCTGAATTTAATGTACTTTGCCGAGCTTCTAAAGTGACAAATCTATCCATTAGTCCTTTGATTTGGTTGATGAAGTTGTGGCTTATCAACTGCAGCACTCCTAGTACAAGAGATTCCATATTATTCATCCAATGAAGTTTCCACACTCAGAGCCCCTCCTCCTAGACCATCCCCAATCTCTCTAAGCATTTCATTTTTCTTCCTTTTTTCAAGCTGAAGATTTTTCAAAGTTGCGGCACACTCTTTTTTCACATGCTCAGGAACTTTCTTACATGGTTGCATACCATGATGAGTTTGACCTAAATGATGCTTAAGTCTAGAAATTCCTCCATTACATCTTTGATCACAAAATGCGCATCTCAAGTATTTTTTTCCCCCTCTATTTCTTTTACATACTTCCACACAGGATATTTTCGATTCATATCTATAAAACAATACCATTAATATTTCTAAGATACAAGTATGATGCATGTACGTCAAATTTCTACTATATCACATAAACGAATAAGATAACTAGTATATTTATAAAAAAATATTTGAAAAAAAATTATACGAAACTTCGAATTACAGTTTATTACAGTCAAATTATACAAGTATGATCCATGTACGTCAAAAAAAAAAAGAAAAAAAAAGACATACTTGCAGTTGAAAGATGAAGAGAATTCTTGAAATTGATGGGGTTATCTAGTAAGGGTAGAAATTAGGGTTGTACACGTACTATACAATATATATATATATATATATATAGTCCATGTGTTAATATATTAATTTAGAGAAAGAAAAAAAAAGAAAAAAAAAGGGTAAGTACAAAAGCTACAGCCGGTTGGAGTTAGGAAAAAAAAGAAGAAAGATATTATTACTTCATGCCTTAAGTTTATTACAATAAAGGCAAGGGAAAAAAAAACTGAAACTTACGTTTTTTAATTTTTCAACACACTCCAAGTGAAACGAAGTCATTTCACTATAACATTATTTTTAAAACACTACAATCAAAACGACGTCGTTTCATTAAACCAAAAAAAAAAAAAAAAAAAAAAAAAAAAAAAGTAAGTCTTCCTTGCAGAGAAATTTGCAGACTCTCAAATTTCTTCCGGTTAAGAAGTTTCCATATCTGGTACGCCTTGCAACGCCTCGCTCCACTTGGCCCCGCCTTGGAACGCCTTCTCACGCCTTCCCAGCGCCAAACGTGCACCTCGCGAAACAGTCGACCGCCTCGGGCGTTTTCCTCTCGCCTCACACCGATGCGCGCGAAGGTATGCCTTTGAAAACACTGCTTGGAAGTGCAAAGTGACATGGGGCTAGGTTTTTAATTGCTTCACATCTAAATGATCATGAAAATAATTAAAGACAGATTTTTATTTTTTTATTTTTTTATAAATGTATTGTCACCTTATCAAGAGGATTAATTGTCTCAGTGACAACTGCACTCTTTCTAATTTGAGTGACTACATTTTTTTTTTCTGAATGAGACGAATTCCATTCAATAAGATGAACTTCCTAAAATTAACACTAAATTCCGTTTTTCTAGATAATTGTACTGGCGTGGAGCCCACACTAGTCTAACTTTGGCTCCACCCTTGCTAATTTGTGACTATATGATGCTATATCCTTAATTGTCAAGGCTATAATTGAGATTTTACATGAGATGGTTAAGTAAAACTCTCTTAATTATGTCCTCTTCCTTCCCCAATTAGCTAATTCAAAGTGTGGATCTGAAATCCCAATGAACATTAGCCACTAATTGGAAACCAAAATGTGCGAGAAGCTTTCCAAGTTTCACCAATTTTGGATGAATCCCTCTAAATATGTGCCTCAATAGCTCTTGCATAGTGGACTATAAAATCAAATCCTTCTACCATTCTAATCAATAGCACCCAAAAACGTACAAAACCTCAACACCAAAAATCCAAAAAAAGAAAAAATGAAAAAAATGGCTGGAAAAACAACATGCATGGGCGTTGATGCAGCTCTAACCATGACATTAATTCTCCTCACTGCCACCATAGCCATGGCGGATGATGATACACCGGTACCAGCCGACCAACCCCAAGTCAACACGTGGTTCAATGACAATGTGAAGCCGTACACAGAACGGCAGGGCACACTTGACCCTGCCCTTGCAACGGCTGAGGCTGGTCAAACCGTCATCAAGGTCATGAAAGATGGAAGTGGACAATTCAAGACTATTACTGACGCCATTAATAGCATTCCGGCCGACAACACCAAACGTGTCATTGTGTACATTGGAGAGGGAGAGTACGAAGAGAAAATCACAATTCCACGGAATAAACCATTTGTTACATTTTTTGGCTCTCCAACCAAGATGCCAACTTTGACCTTTGCTGGCACAGCCCAAAAGTATGGAACTGTGAACAGTGCCACAGTGATTGCTGAATCTGACTACTTCATGGCAGCTAATGTTATTATTAAGGTATTTAAATTTATCAAATCAACATGTCACATGATATTATCATCAAAGAATAAATATTTGTCGATATTCTTTTATTATTTTTGTGTGGGGATTAAAATTTGAGTTGATTTGTGGTTGTGAAGAACTCTTCACCAAGGCCAGATGGGAAAGCAGTGGGAGCGCAGGCAGTGGCATTGAGGGTGTCGGGGAACAAGTCAGCCTTGTACAATTGCAAGCTTATTGGTTTCCAGGACACCCTTTGTGATGACAAGGGCAATCATTTTTTCAAGGACTGCTTTATTGAAGGCACTGTGGATTTCATATGGGGAAGTGGAAAGTCTCTCTATTTGGTAATGTCACCCAAACTCTCCTTATAATTCCTCAATGGAAGGAAAATCTATTGAGGAACTCTATATGCGAGTCTCGTCATATAATAGTGAATTTCACGTACATGTTGTAAGAGAAACGTTATATGTACGATTAACTCATCTGTATAATTGAGCTTGTTGATGGTCTATATTATGTCATGGTTTTGATGGTTAATTAATTAATGGGTGCAGAACAATGAGTTACATGTGGTGGGGGATAATGGATTAACAGTGATAACAGCACAAGCAAGGGACTCAGCTTCAGATGATACTGGATACTCATTTGTCCACTGCAAGATAACTGGGACTGGAAATGGCACATATTTGGGCAGGGCTTGGAGGATCAGTCCCATGGTCGTCTTTGCCTACACCAACATGTCTGAGGTCATCAACCCCGCCGGCTGGAGCAACGATAACCGCCCCGAACGTGACAAGTAAGCAAATTTACATACACTAATTAAACAATTTCATATAATTGATTGGTTTTGAGAGTTAATTAATACTTATCAATAATTTCTTTTTCTTTTTTTGTGTATGTGACAATGTTGTAGCACTGTGTTCTATGGAGAATACAAGAGTTCGGGTCCAGGTTCAAGTGCGGCTGGGAGAGTAAAATACACCAAACATATGACGGACGAACAAATCAAACCTTTCCTAAGCCTTGGCTATATTCAGGGTTCCAAATGGCTGCTTCCTCCTCCAAATCCCAAAGTGTAGATATTGGATATAATTTTCTTAATGGGTTCCACAATTTAGTAATTAAAGTTCAATTATGAAAATTTTGGGATGGAAAAGCTTGTTTGTTGCCAATGTTTTGGTGCTAACAGAATAAATTGTAATTTATCGATTTGTTATGGATCAAATATACATGTCTGAGATTTTGGGGCTGAGAAACTGTATGTCTCAGGATTTTATCAACATCATGCAGAGGAGAACTCCCATATTCAACATATTATATATGAGGTCGTCGGTCTCCATCAATTGATCAATTGTCCAACAACATAACATATCAAGCTATTGTAAAACGAATTTAACTTCAACCCAAGCAAAATGTGATAAATAATATATTACATAACCATATCTACATTTCTCATAAAAGATGCCATTAATCAAGTAAAATTTTCTATTGCCAGACTGTGAGTTCGTAAAATGATTTTGTTGAATCTGTATGCACGATACTCAGTATGGCAACTAAACGTTACTCTTATATATTTGTATAAACACAGTATAATTACATGTAGAGAAAATTAAGAAAGCAATACATTTTTCAGCTTCAATGGCGACAAATGGTACTGAAGAAAACCCCATCAGCGCAAACTTCTACATGGTGAGATCCAACAGCAGAACAGTCTCCTTATTCGACAAATGGTACGCCTGGAAAACTACTCCACCAGATTGAAAGAGGATGAAGATGTTGGACACCCTTTACTTCAGTGGCTTCTGTGAAGTTAGCAGGGTTCAAAGCTATCACAGCCATCCATGCCAATTGCTGCCGGACTATAGGTGCTAAGGTGGCTGATCTGGCGGCTGTGGTTCACGATCGGAAGAGGTTCAAGAGTTTATCTAATTCCAAGACCATCACTGATGGCGTTAATAGGATTCTTGCCGACAACACCAAAAGTGTCATTGTGTACATTGGAGGGGGAGAGTACAATGAGAAAATCACAATTCCGCGGAATAAACCATTTGTTATATTTTATGGTTCTCCAAAAACTATGCCAACTTTGACCTTTTCTGGCACAGCCCAAAAGTATGGAACTGTGAACAGTGCCACAGTGATTGTTGAATCCGACTACTTCGTAGCAACTAACCTTATTATTAAGGTGCGTAAATGTATCATGTGAACAAGAAATATTTCATGTTACGTGATATTATCGTCATGCGCAATAATCTTTTATCAACATTCTTTTAAAAAATTTGTTTCCTTATTATAATTTGTGTTTGTGAAGAACTCTTCGCCAATGCCATATGGGAAAAGGGTGGGAGCGCAGACAGTGGCATTGAGGGTGTCGGGGAACAAGTCAGCCTTGTACAATTGCAGGCTGATTGGTTTCCAGGACACACTTTGTGATGACATGGGCAATCATTTTTTCGAGGACTGCTATATTGAAGGCACTGTGAAAACACTGATTGACACCAAAACCCATCAAGTGAAATGTTATTATTTCTATATGATATTAGTTTAAAGTTATTATTTCTTCCAAGTTTTATTCCATAGCAAGTGAAATGTTAAAGTCCTCTTAATTAAGGCATATAAAAAAACTTGTCCAAGTCAGATTCCCCACTTAGAGTATAATGGCTTTGATTAGAGGTTGAGATCAACAAGCGCAATACATTCATCAAGCGCAGCATCGCAACAAAGAAAAGGAGGTTGCTGGGTTGCTGAGGCTTTTATTCGAATAGGTGGTGGGCACCTCCAAGGTAGAGCTGAGGGGCAAACTCTGGCGACTTCAAAGCTTTTTCCGGTGAGGGGAGGTGCAACTGCACCTCCTTGCGCCTCTGTGGATCTGTCAGTGTGTATGGCCATAAACACAAACCCAAGAGATCCAAGCGGAACACTCGAAGCAGCACTACATAACTGAAGCTGAAAAATCCATGACGAAAAACCCTTCTCTGACGAAAAACCTTTCACCACACGTCATCTCTCCCTACGAGGAGAGTAAAATATTAGTAGTGGCACACCTAACGCACTAAAAGAAAAAGACCAACATTGAGCCCATCCTAAGGGTGAATTTAGAGTTTCTTGACCAGCAAGCAACTCATTGCAGCCAAAATACAACCTGCAAGAAACTTGAGCATTGCAGTGTTCACCAAAAGCCCACAGACACTTTTTGCACGTACACTGGCTCTTTGTGATTAATATGTGTTTCCCTTTCTTTTGTCATGGATTTTTCAGTTTCAGTTCTGTAGTGCTGCTTCGAGTGTTCCGCTTGGATCTCTTGGGTTTGTGTTTATGGTCATACACACTGACGGATCCACAGAGGCGCAAGGAGGTGCAGTTGCACCTCCCCTCACCGAAAAAAGCTTTGAAGTCGCCAGAGTTTGCCCCTCAGCTCTACCTTGGAGGTGCTGAAAATGGTAATTAGGTGATGAGGGGTAAACTTAATCACACAAACAAGACACAACAGCACAGCAAGCTTCACACACTTTGAACCTTGACCAAATACACGTATGACTAGTCAACTACTAGTCAAGAAACAATCACAACCAATAGAATACACAGAGTATGCCACAATGTACCTGCAATCCTAGAAGATTACTAGTGACAACCTAGGCACTCAGAAGGACCTGTCAATCTAGGCATCCCCTATGCTAGCAACAACTATGGTGAAAGTGTGTGAAATCATCATTGTCATGTAAACATCAAACAACAGATACAGATGACTAGTCAACTACCAAGAACACAAACCCAGAAAAATTACAGATATGCAAAACAGATTTTGTTCACCCAGAAACCCACCATTGGGAAAAACTGGGAGTCATCAACCGACCAGGCAATCCACTAAGTAGAAAAAGATTCTTACAAAGGAAACACAACCAAGCTCAAGAAGCACCTAGGTCTATTTAGGAATATGAGCAATACCTCCTTTGTGCAATCTTCTTCTCCAACTTAGCAAAACTTGAAACTCAGTCCTTCATGGCAATGGCAGCTCCTTCTCCAGCTCGTTCATCCCATGACACTAGCTTGCAAGCTCCAACACAAACCGAAACCAATTTGGATTCAAAGGAGAAAGACCAATTTCTTCAAGAAACCATACTCTTGAAGAAATCAATCTTGAATCTGACCTAGATATAAATGATAGAATGATTTAAATAGCTAGATGCAGATTTGTGTTTCAAATGCAATTTTTCAAAAAGAAATCAATTGGAAAAACTCATAGATGAAATAAGATGGTTCTCTCGTGGAAGAAGAAGCGAAAGATGGCAAGCCAAACTTTCCAAAACTTCCACCTGAAAGAGACAACTGCCAAAAGAGAAATATCGTGGGCTATACAGACCAACAAATTCGTTAGGTCAGAAAACCCACTTGGCAGCAGAGAGAGAGAAAGAAGAATAGGACAAAACAGTTTGTTATCCAGCTGGAGGCAAGGATGACTAGTCATATGAGAAACGGTTGACTAGTCATCTTTTTATGAAGACTGTTTTATTTAATGATATGCAATGCTCAATACCTTTGTCAACTTGCTTGAGCCACCATAGAGCAGAGATTAGAGAAGAGCACCAATAAAAGTTTTCCCTAATCTAGACTTGAGCTTGATAAATTACATTACACATCCTATTACAAAGTTGTCAAGGGAAGCCAAAAGAAAATAGTAAAAAACCATACATTAACAGGTGCCCACCACCTGTTCGAATAAATGCCTCAGCAACCCAGCAACCTCCTTTTCTTTGTTGCGATGCTGCGCTGGGAGCAGCTTTTGTTTTGTTTTTTAATTCCTGGCCAAACGAAGTCGTTTTGGCCAAGCAAAAAAAAATTTAATAAGAGCAAACCTGAAGCCTTATTTCCACTGAACGGAAGAGCGTGTTCTTGGGGTCCAAGTTGGAATTAAATGGACCAAGGGATACCTGCATTGAATGATTTTTCAAAAGCTTTGCATGCTCTTGAGTGTCTTGCTGCAGATCCATCCCTCTCCTCCAAGTTTGAATGTTTTTTTTTCCTTTTGTTTTTTTTTTTTTTATATATATTTATAATATTATATATTGTTGTTTATTTTAGAGAGATTATTTTTGTTTTTTGATTTGGTTATGTTTGTATAACCATAAACCCTAAATCCTCTTTCGAATAATTTAGGAATTTTTTTCGCTTTTAGCCTTTTAAATGTTGCCCCTTCCCAGGAAAATTCCTGGATCCGCCGCTGGCCATACATATCCAACCAGCGGTGATTATTATACTACATTTAAATGGTACATTTTATTTATTTAAAATAAAATGATATTCTAACTACTGTAATGTATGGGGAGGGGGATTGAACTCAGTTGCC